TTCTCTACCCGCACTCAGCTCCCAAGACTGAAGCCGTAAGTCCTGCCTCCACTTCTCATGATCTCCAGCTTTTCTCCCCTCGACCCTCCTCCCGAGCTTCTACTTCACCTTTGATCTTTTAATTCTTCACGCTTTATCCTTGTTCAGAACTATTTGCTGCCCACAGGACTCCCTCTGAGTATTCTCTGCAAGCTTGCCTACCTGTTGGTTGCACTGGGTATGGAGCTGGGGTTGGACAGGGAATTGTTAGTTTTCTCTTCCTCCTCTCCCTTCTGTTCCCTCTTTGTAGCTTCCAGTTCCTGGACTGGAGGGGAGCATAAGGAGAAGTGAAGGGTGTGGTAAGATGACGAGGTACAGGAATGGGACAGGCAGGCACAGGTCTCCAACCACCACAAGTGTTGCCTCTCTTGGCTCCCTAATGCTGTTTAATCCAGAATGTACGGGGGAGTGGTGTTCAAGGGCATAAGGTTGCCAGGGAATCTCCGCCTTCCTACTGGTCCTCTGTCCTCTCTCCTCACAAGGTGTGTATTCAGAATTGAGAGGGTGTGTACCCAGACCTCAAAATGTGACTTAGGTGTGACTTGACCTTTGTCCTGGCAGGAAAAAGAATGAATACTGGAGCCAATATAGAGATAGATGTGGGACTTCAGTATAGAAAGTCAGTTAAGGTGGGGTAGGCATGGTGGTGTTAGTTCCTTTTCTCAGCTGTCTTGGCATACCCACAAGATAGTAAGATACTTGGAAATCTTATTTGAGAAAGAGAAATTCCCTTCACATTGTTCTCTGGCCCCACTGACTCATCAGCCCCACTCCTCTACTCCTATACTTTGTGGGTATCCTTAAGAGCCATCCACCTCTCTTCTGTGTCTGTCACTTAATTCCTTCTTCTGGTAGGAGAGCAATTATCAAAGAATAGATAGAGTTCTGTAGTTAGAGTCCCTTTTGGGGAGATAGAAAATGTTACCCCTGGGCTCGTTGTCTAAGTTAAGGAGTAGTTATGAGGAAGCAAATATAATTACTTGGAATGGTATATATCTACCCAGATAAAGAAGGAAGATAATCTTCCAGAGCAGTAGGGTTGTTATTTGTTTGAGAGGGTGGTTACTAAGATTAAAGAGGTAGGAAATGAGAAGAGAGAATTACAGAAGGAAAAATAAGACTTGCCCAGAGGACTAGAGAAAGCATTCAAGTTTGGAGACTAGCTGTCCAAATTTGAATACTAGCTCTGCTGAAAAAAGACATGTATTTGTGTACTTTTCTTATTCTGTGAGCATCTAACAGCCACATGATGTATTAATGCTCACTTTAAAAAATTATCCCACGGCACGCAAGAAGTAATACATGTATTTGACTTCTTTAATGATAATGATATCAATACTATTTAACATTGGGATCCCTGGGTGGCGCAGCGGTTTGGCGCCTGCCTTTGGCCCAGGGCGCGATCCTGGAGACCCAGGATCGAATCCCATGTCGGGCTCCCGGTGCATGAAGCCTGCTTCTCCCTCTGCCTGTGTCTCTGCCTCTCTCTCTCTCTCTCTCTCTGTGTGTGTGACTATCATAAATAAATAAATAAAAAATTAAAAAAAATACTATTTAACATTTATAAAGTGCTTTATAATTATAAGGAACTCTAGTATGTGTAATTTTATTGAATTGGATTGTTCCAGTGGATGACCAGGGACCGAGCCTACATTTTTCAGGGGGGTGAGAAGACAAGTTAATTGCCTAGAAGATGTTTTAGTAACTTGTTTGAAGGGCTGGAGTGGTGGAGAGGACACGAGCCTGAGCAGAACTAGGGAGGATTCTATTTCCCTTAGGGATGGTCCTTAGAATCATCTCTATCTCATTCAGGATGCCTTGGGGTCAATATAATGAAGCACCTGACTGAAAAAGTGGTATGATCCCTAAGGTTGCAGAGAAGAAACAGGGAACTTGGGATTGTCTTGACCAGGGAAACCCCAAGTAAGGATGAAAAGATAAGAATAAAAATGCGAAGAAAACAAAATGCTTTCATATAACCAGTACCGTATGATTAGATTTTTATTTTTTTATTTTTTTTTAAATTTTCTTTTATTTATTTATGATAATCAGAGAGAGAGAGAGAGAGAGAGAGGCAGAGACACAGGCAGAGGGAGAAGCAGGCTCCATGCACCGGGAGCCCAACATGGGATTCGATCCGGGTCTCCAGGATCGCCCCCTGGGCCAAAGGCAGGCGCCAAACCGCTGCGCCACCCAGGGATCCCATGATTAGATTTTTAAATCACTCTTACAGACGAGGAAATGGAGGCTGAGGGAAGTCCGGTGACTTGTCCAAAGCTACACAGCTATGAAAGGCAAGGCCAGGATTCAAACCTAGGTTTGTCTGGTTCCAAGGCTGCAGGGATTAAGACCGCGCCCACTGTGGAGATGGGAACCGTCTTGTCCAGTCTTCCAAGTCCATCTTTTCTTGACTCCGCCATAAATAAGTCTCTTTGTTCCTTCCCTTAACTTTCCGATTTGTTTTTCTCTTTGTCCCTTTTTGTCTCCAGTCTACCTGTAACTCCTCTACATCTGTTAACGCTTTCAATCTACATTTATTGGCTCTCTAAGCAGTTCATACTCCTTTTGTTTCAAAAAGCAAACAGAAAACCTGGTTTTGGTCCCAAGGACGTGCAGTGGCACAAATCGTACCTCTTTCTCTGCATCTTGCTTGTTCCCAGCTCTTGGTCTCGCTGGGAAGTCTCTGTCTAAGCCAAGCGTCTGGGCCGTGCCGGCGCAGCCCGAAATTGGAGGAAGGGGAGCATCAGGTTGCACTCCCTCCCCACAGCCACTAGAGGCCACCCTCCTCCACGCAGAAGTGCGGGCCAACGCAGCCTGACTCTGTTGCCGGTGCGCGCCCTCCGCTGATTGGTGACAGCACGGGGGAGCCGCGCGTTGATTGGGTTGCTGTCAGGTGTCGCTGACGGCAGGTTCGGCTGCGCGAGCGCAGGGAGGCGGGTGAGCGAGGGCCGGGGGCGGTGGGGGAGTGGCTGGGGGCTGGGGGCGGTATCCGCGGGGGTGGGCTGCGGGGTGTGGGCTCGGGGGGTGCGGAGGGCCGCGGTTCGTACCGGCTGCGGGCAGCCTGGGAAAGAGGCCCCGCGGGCCGGGCCTCAGTGTCAGCGTAGGGAGAGTCAGGCGGGGGCGGGCGAAGGCTGGTGGAGTCGCCTCGGAGGGCGGTCTCGGTGACCGGGAGCTGTGTCAGGAGAGGCACCGGAGGGGTCCGCGAGACCCGAGAGGGGTGTGAGCGTTTGCGGGAGGGGGAGGGCGCCCTGCGAGCCGCGCGGGTCTGGGTGAGGAGGGGGACGGAGCCGCGCGGGGGAGGCTCGCTGCGGGCGGGCGCGGGTCCTCGCGGGCGGGAGCGGACCCCGGAGAGGGCCAGCGCGAGGACGCAGGGATCCCGGGCGTGTTCCTCCGGGGGCGATCTTCGCGGGCTCCACGTAACGATGTGGCCAGGCGTGGTGGGTGACTGGTCTGCGGGTCCGGAGGGCTGTCTACTGCTGGGGAATCGCTGAGCGAGGGGATTAGCGGATCATTAATTGGATTAGTTGATCAGTGGCGGGGGAGGGGCGGCGGTGTTGTGAGCGGTGGCGGCGGGGGGTGCCGGTGGAAAGTCATTTTAGCGAATTAGGCAAGGAAAGAAGCGTGAGTGGGTTGATGGAACGAGGGCATTAGGCACGATTCATCAGTGTCAGGATGTGGATATGTGGGAGGTAAGCGTTGCATCTCAGGGAAGGAGCTTAGGAAGAGGATGCACGGTTGGCGGCCTGAGAAGTTCTGCGACGCTGGAGATACTCCCGCCTGCACTGTGTATTGACGTTTCCCCTTCCCGGCTAATGGTGCCCTCCACTGAGTGCCTGGCGATGAAGGAAGTCAGAGGACTGCTGCAAACAGCCCTAAATCCTAAGGGAGAAAGAAGTCACACAGTTTACCTTCCCTCCCACCCCCTCTTCAGATCTGATTTAACTTGGGGGTTTCTGAGATTACCCACCTGCCCCACCCTCTCTCCTCACCTGTCTTCTCCCCGCCTCCGACCCTCCCTTTTTTCCCCTTCCTTTTGCTTGGATTCAGGCCGGAGTTAGACTGCCCTTAGCCCTTTGTGGACTGTGAAGTTTTCTTTTGCTTTGTAACAAAGTATTGAGGGAGAGGGGGTTGCGGAGAAGGGCGCAGAAAACTGGGGAGTGGCTCTCGGAGTACCACATCAAATCCCAGCCTTGCTCAGAGGTACATCTAAATAAATCCTGGCTTATTTCATGGCTGTTTCTGTCAGGCTTCTATCTTTGCTTCGGTACCTATGAACATAACATAGGCCTTTCTGTCTCTCTTTAGCCCCTGCTTGTGAACAGACTCTCTTCTTCCGCATTCTGTTACCATCCCCTGTTATAAAGTCATGACAGAATTTCAGGAAAATGACTGTATACATTCAGTAGAAAACCAGGAAGGACTTCATGCGCAAAACGGTGAAGGATTAGGAACCTTAGACATGAGCGAAAGCCCCTGCTTCGGATAAAGGTTAAAGGGTGCAACGAAATTCTGCTTGTTTAAACTATACAGGGACGTCGGGGATGCCACAAATCATGGAAACTGGGTCAGGTCACTAAAAAGGAGCTCAAAGAAACAGCTTATTCATCAGGAGGGGCAGTGTATGTATAAGATCTGTAGTAAACAACTGGAAATGTTAAGTAGAAGGAGCATGTTGTGGTTGACTAGTGGAGGCAAGCAGAAGGCCATAAAGGTTAGCTGTAACTTTCTAATCAAAGCTGCAAATCCCACTCGGCAATGGCAGGGTTTAAAATAAAAATACAAAATAATTGTTGAAGACTATTTAAAAAGTCTGTAAGACTAAATCTATCTACTTAAGGTGTTTGTGGCTTTCATTAGAGTCATTGGTTATTATTTCTGAAAACTTTTGGTGAATGTGAAAAATTGTTCCTGGATGACTCGATTTCATTTTTGGGGAAAAAAAAAAAAAAAAAAAACCAGCATACCCGTATCCCTGCAATTTAGTATTAACAAATGTTAACCTTTTGCGTATTTGGTTCAGATATTTTAAAAGTTGAAATAAACATTACAGATAAGGGTTGTAAAGTTCCACTCAAATCTTTCTCAATTTCCACTTTCAGAGGTAACCACTACCTTGAATTTAGTGTCTCTCTTTCCAGTCCATATTTTTAGACTCCTACTAATTATGTATACAGTCACAAACATATATAATATTTTCTATTTATGCAAACCAAATTGTACTGCATGTGTATGTCTGCCGTTTGCATTTGGAAGCTGTTCATATTGTTACATCTTTGATTCATTTTTAAAAATTGCTGTTTATCATTTGTATCCACTCTACACTGTATCCATTCTACTTGTGACCTCTGAGTTTTCAGTTTTTCCCATTATCAGCAGTGAGATTATGAACATCTTTGCACATGTCTTGTTATGCAGGAGAGTTTTTTTGCAGCAGAAATTCTCAGCCTCAGCACTACTGACATTTTGGACTGGGTAATTCTTTGTTGTGGGGGAGTATCCTATGAATTTAAGGCTGTTAAGCATTGTCCTCGGCCTCTACTCATCAGACACCAATAGCACCTTCCTAGCTGTGACAACCAAAAATGCTTCCTACCAAATGTCCCCTGACCAGCATAATCACAATTAGTTAAGAACTATTACTGTAGGTGTATGTGTGCAGAAGTGGAACTACCAGATTGTTCTGATTCAAATGTAAGTCTTTAAGATAGTCTCATTGATTATGGATCTAGGCAGAATTTTTTCCTACTGTAGCTTCTGGTGTAAGGGCCCTTGACCTAGGCCAGACCTGGGTCTTTAGTACCAGGACATGGTAGAGAGAAAACATGGTAAAAGAAAAAACCCACTTCAGTCTGAGAATGGATTGGAGGCTATTGTATGGATGTCTGTATATACTTAACCTCCCAGTCAGCCCTGGACCTCTTTCCTTGACAGATTTTTCTGGACTTGGACATCTGTCTTTTAAAGTGGAGCACGTGAGGGTGCCTGGGTGGCTCAGTTAAGTGTTTCCCTTTGGCTCAGGCTCAGGTGTGATCCCCAAATTGAGCCTCACATCTGGCTCCTGCTCAGGGGAGCCTGCTTCTCCCTCTTTCTCTGCCCTTCACCCTCCCTTCATGCTCTCTCTCTCTCTCTCCCCCTCCCTCTCATGCTCTGTCTCCCTCTCAAATAAATCAATAAAATCTTTAAAAAAAATGAAATGGAGCATGTGAAGGAGGGACAGGGCATAGAGAATTTTAATGTCCTGATATAATGCTTAGAACATAGGATGCCCTCAATAAATGGTTTTTAAGTTAATCCTTGGTAGGAATGAAGATGGGGTTAAGGTCAAAGGCAGTTGACCTCTCTCATTCTCTTTGACCTTGAATTAAATCCCTAAGTTCAACACTACTATGGGGAGATGGTGAAGGGATAGGAATATTTTGTAATGAATCCAAAACTGGAAATGTCACTCTAACCTTCTCTTCTGGTAGGAATCAACAGTAGCCTCCCATGAAGAACTGCCTTTTCTACTTGCTGCTGGATTTAATGGTGTTTCCTGCTGGCAGAATCAGGGACATGCCAGCACTGTAAGGGTTAACCTTCTTATCCTCTCACCAGTCTCATGGTTGGGTATAGGGTGAGCAGAGGAAAAGGGAGACCTTGCTTTTTCTCTTAGGGATCTTTAGTCATGTCAAGTCATAGCCCACGTGCTTCCTTTCCTATTGCTCCTTCTTACCACAGTTTTATTTCCTGTTTCCCCTAGTCTCCTTGTGGTTCCCTCTTTATTTTATGATATTCCACACCCAGTCCCCACCCACTGCCATGGGGTTTGGATTCTGAACTAATGGGATGCCCTCCATTGCAGAGCGGGATGAGTGGGTACTCCGGCGGGGATGTGGTCATTGCCGGCCAGTGAGGGTGAGAGTGCCACAGCCCACTTCTTCCTTGGAGCTGGAGATGAGGGGCTGGGCACCCGTGGAATAGGCATGAGGACAGAAGAGAGTGACAACGAGCTCCTTGAGGATGAGGAGGATGAAGTGGTAAGACTAAGAAAATGATGTAACTTGGTGTTGGGACCCCTTTCATAGAGAGTTGAGATTCCATTGGCTAGAGACACTTCTCTGCTCTTTGCAAATGCATAGATTCTTTGTCATAAACAGGCCCCATCCTGACTAAGTGGAGAGGCAGTAGAGATTGGTTAGATTACTTCTCTTTGAATCCCCTGCCATTACGCCCTCCTCCAGTTGTGTCATGGTTATTGGTTCTCCGGCTCTTCTAACTGAGCACACATTTCCTACTGTGGAAAGGCACTCTTTAGGCAATAGGGATCTTTATACACACTCTGTTCTAGACCTAAGTTAGGAGACAGCATTTACCCCATAGGTCCAAAGTCCTGGCAAGAAACTGTGCCCAAGGGGATCCCTGGGTGGCTCAGCAGTTTAGCACCTGCCTTCGGCCCAGGGTGTGATCCTGGAGACCTGGGATCAAGTCCCACGTCGGGCTCCCTGCATGGAGCCTGCTTTTCCCTCTGCCTGTGTCTCTGCCTCTGTGTGTGTGTCTCTCTCTCTCTAATAAATAAATAAATCTAAGAAAGAAAGAAAGAAAGAAAGAAAGAAAGAAAGAAAGAAAGAAAGAAAGAAAGAAAGAAAGAGAAAGAAAGAGAAAGAGAGAGAAAGAGAGAAAGAAAGAAAAGAAAGAAAGAAAGAAAGAAAGAAAGAAAGAAAGAAAGAAAAAGAAAGAAAGAAACTATGCCCAAAGGAGATGAGACAGTGTTCCCTCATAGGGATGGTCTTGGTTGGAAGTTCCTAAGTTCCTGATAGCACTTCTTCTCTATAGCCTCCTGAACCTCAGATCATTGTTGGCATCTGTGCCATGACCAAGAAATCCAAGTCCAAGCCAATGACCCAAATCCTAGAGCGACTCTGCAGATTTGACTACCTAACGGTTATCATTCTGGGAGAAGATGTGATCCTCAACGAGCCTGTGGAAAACTGGCCATCTTGCCACTGCCTCATCTCTTTCCACTCCAAAGGTTGGAGTCTTTGAAGGAAAATGGGAGGGAACGGAGTTGGGAATGCTGGACTGGCAGATGAAGTTCTTACTGTCAAATAGTACAGAGGTCATCAGCTCTTCCTGATCCATTGGAGAACAGAAGGGTGAAGAGGGGTTTGCTTTCCCTGTATCATGGAGGAGTTGCTGGTAGTAGTTTAAAGTCCATATTCAAACCTCAGGCTCTTCGGGTCTCTGACAGAATTGTGTGTCTCTGAAAGGACCCTAAAAATAATATCTTTTTCACTTTTTCCTGATGGATATTCTAGACTTGGAAAGTTGGGTAGAAGGATAAGCGATGGGTTGGATGGGTAGAGGAGCTAAGTGGCAACTTTAGCTTTATTTTTTTTTCAACTTTAGCTTTAATAATCTATTTCTCTTGCTGTTTTCTCTGTCTTTTTCACTTTTTTTCTTTGATCGATTTCCGTTCTCCATCTCAGGATTTCCTCTGGACAAAGCTGTTGCTTACTCCAAGCTTCGAAACCCATTTCTTATCAATGACCTGGCTATGCAGTATTACATCCAGGATAGGTATAGCTTTCTGTTGATTTGTGGGATGGGTAGCCCTGAGATCATGCTTGTTTAAAGAGCACGTTCTGGGAGGGGCAAAGTCAAACAAACATGCTTAATTTTTGCATCATACCCTCTTGAGTTCTGTGCTGTGATATCTACCAGTTCCTGAACAAATGAAATCCCTAGCCTCTTCCCTTGGTCTCCATCCCCCACCTCTCCCAGCTAATTTATTTGGGGGTGACAGGAGGGAGGTGTACCGGATCCTGCAGGAGGAGGGTATTGATCTGCCTCGATATGCTGTGCTCAACCGTGACCCCGCCCGGCCTGAAGGTGAGTACCTGGCTTTGTCCAGTCCTTCCCGGCCTTGCTTTCTGTCACTTAGCCCAGTTGTCCATCCTCTGGATATCTCCATGTACTACTTATCTAAGTGAGCCTTTCATTATTGGATTATGGATAGATTATGGATAGAACTATGGGCCCTGAATAGTGCCTTGGACCTCTTACATAGATATTATTATATTTATATACCATATGCATACTACTGTATCTATTACTAAGATATGGTCACAGAAATTTGGGGGTTATGGAGATTAAAACACAGAGAAATGGGACTTGGAAGTATTCTACAATTCTCAACCCTAGGAATGACCACATACCTGTCTTTCAGAGTGCAACCTGATAGAGGGTGAAGACCAGGTAGAGGTAAATGGAGCTGTCTTTCCCAAGCCCTTTGTGGAGAAGCCAGTGAGTGCAGAGGACCATAATGTTTACATCTACTACCCCAGTTCAGCTGGAGGAGGAAGTCAGCGCCTCTTCCGTAAGGTATGGGAAACATCTGAGCATTTGGGGAAGTCAGATAGGAAGAAGGACAAGAATGAGGTTGTGGGAAGGGAAGCTGGAGGATTTAGGGACAATGTGGAGGCAATATTTTTTTTCTTCTTTTTCTTCCTGAAGATTGGCAGCCGAAGCAGCGTTTACTCTCCTGAGAGCAGTGTCCGAAAGACAGGATCATACATCTATGAGGAGTTTATGCCAACAGATGGCACAGATGTCAAGGTTATGGTGGATATAGGAATTTAAGAAGTTCATAAATGTCTGGGGGGGATGGGGTGCTTGGGAAGCAAGTGGAAGTGCATGGAGAAAATCATAGAAAATGAAGTGTGAATGTGATTTGCTTTCATATTCAGGTGAAGTCAGTGAGAGAAGTAGACATTTACATTATAATTGTGAGAGCAAGGGCAAGGGTAATGTGGAAAATGCTATACTGTTGGTAACATTTTTTAATGAGGACTAGATAATAGATCTGGAGTCCCAAAGAGAAACCTTCATAAAGATATTTCGATCAGGTTCAGTAAGAAATATATCGGTCTCTGTTTTTCGTCCTCAGGGTTGTTTTTGTTTTTGTTTTACTTTGAAACTAGCTTACAGACCTAGTGCTCATATTATCTTCTCATATGCAGGATGAGCAGTGGGCATACTCAGTGATGCTATGTACCTGCAGGTATATACAGTGGGGCCTGATTATGCCCATGCTGAAGCCAGAAAATCTCCAGCTCTGGATGGGAAGGTCGAACGAGACAGTGAAGGGAAAGAGATTCGATATCCAGTCATGCTGACCGCCATGGAAAAGCTGGTGGCCAGGAAAGTCTGCGTAGCTTTTAAGGTAGAAGAAGGCCTGTGGTGGGTGGTGCTGTGGAATGAGGGCAATAGACAGGAGCAGGAGTCCGGGAAGAAAGAGTGGCTCTCTTGTTCTCATCTTGCCTCTTTCCACTGCAGCAAACAGTTTGTGGTTTTGACCTTCTTCGTGCCAATGGTCACTCCTTTGTGTGTGATGTCAATGGCTTCAGTTTTGTCAAGAATTCGATGAAATACTATGATGACTGTGCCAAGATTCTAGGGTAAGGGACACAATGGTCTGGACTAGGGAGAATGGGCTTAGAGAAGAGAGTTAGAAAGCTTTTGCTTAATTTTAAATATTATAAAGAGTATTTAAGAGCAAAAAAAGAAAAATAGAAAAAAGACTCCTTAGCCCTCTTACCTTCCTAACACTGTACTCCCCAGTCAAAACTGTTAACACTTTTATACATACCAGTATGTCTTATACCATATATAAACAAACTATATTTATTATACTAAATATGATTGATCATGCTGTAATACTGTTTTAAAACTTTTCTTTAAAAAAAATTCACCACATGATGTTTAAAATGTGGAAAGAATGATGAATATGGTTAGTATTCCTGTATTCACTATCAATCTTTAAAAATAAAACATTAAAAAAATAAAAAATAATAAGATAAAATATTAAGAATGGGGTGCCTTGGTGGGTCAGTTGGTTAAGTGGCCGACTTTTGATTTCTGCACAGGTCCTGGGATCGAGCCTGGCATCAGGCTCCGTGCTCAGTGGGGAGTCTGCTTGAGGATTCTCTCTCTCCTTCCCCTGCCCCTCCCCCACTCACATTCTCTCTCTCTCTCTCTCTCTCTCTCTCTCTCTCCCTCCCTCTCTCTCTCTCTCTCTCTCTCTCTCTCTCTCTCTCTCTGTTTCTAAAATAAATAAATTAATCTTTAAAAAGAAAATACTAGTTTGGACCCCTACCCATCCCTTGCTAATTACATCCCTTTCCCTCCCACCCAGAGATAACTACAGTCCTTTATTTGGTGTTGTCATTCCCATGCATTTATTATTTTTTTTAAGATTTATTTATTTTAGAGAGAGAGAGTGCACTCAACAGAGTAGGGGAAGAGGGGCACAGGGAGAGAATCTCAAGCAGACTCCCCACTGAGCATGGAGCCCAAAGTGGGGCTCATTCTTACAACCCATGAAATCATGACCTGAGCTGAAATTAAGAGTCAATACTTAACTAACTCAGCCACCCAGTCACCCCTATCCTTCCTGTGCATTTGTTAATACTTTTATTGTGTCTGTGGGGGTGTTTTGGGGGTATGTTTTTAGACTTTATATAATACATTCTTCTACAACTTGCTAGTTTCTGTGAGCTTTATTCACATGTGTGGTTCTGGTTCATTATTTTCATACAGTTCTTCATGTTTCTCCTTTTAGGAACACCATTATGCGGGAGCTTGCTCCGCAGTTTCAGATCCCATGGTCTATCCCCACAGAGGCTGAAGACATTCCCATCGTCCCTACCACATCTGGCACTATGTGAGCAAAAGTATAAAATCTGGAGTAACCTGGAACACCTGGGTGGCTCAGCAGTTGAGCACCTGCCTTTGGCCCAGAGCATGATCCTGGAGTGCCGGGATTGAGTCCCACATCGGGCTCCCTGCATGGAACCTGCTTCTCTCTCTGCCTATGTCTCTGCCTCTGTGTGTGTGTGTGTGTGTGTGTGTGTGTGTCTATTGAATAAATAAATATTAAAAAAAATCTGGAGTAACCTACTTAAGGCACCTGAGTCAGACCGGTGGTTTCTGACTGTATACCATCTGACTAGTGGAGCCTTTTCTAGGTATTTTCCTAATCCCTACCTATACACCTAATCTCAGGTAGTTTTTCCTCTGTTGTTTACATTTACATGTCAAGTAGGATGAACGATGGGAGATGATGTGGGGTGGGGTGGAGGAGGGGCTCTAACAACATTCCCTATCTTAGGATGGAACTTCGTTGTGTCATTGCAATTATCCGTCATGGGGATCGTACCCCCAAGCAGAAAATGAAGATGGAGGTGACACATCCAAGGTAGGAAGAATGTCTTAATTTAGACAAATAGGTTTTTGTAAGGGAGATGGGGTGGAGCAGCTCCCCAAGGCTTTAACTGACTTTTTCCTTAATTCTTTTCTTTAAAAAGCTTTTCCTTAATTCTTCAGGTTCTTCAGTCTATTTGAAAAACATGGTGGCTACAAGACGGGTAAATTAAAACTGAAGCGGCCTGAGCAACTACAGGTAAGGTGGTGAATCTGGCTGGGAAGAGCAGTGCTGTGGGAAAGACAGAGGGTATGGGATTGGGGTCCTTTGTGAGAGACCAGGATGAAAAGGTAACTTGCCAGGCTTGTCCTGCTGCATGGATATTCTGTTATTTCCTCTAGGAGGTGCTGGACATCACAAGGCTGTTATTGGCTGAATTGGAGAAAGAACCAGGTGGTGAAATCGAGGAGAAGACTGGAAAACTAGAGCAGCTGAAGTCTGTGCTGGAGATGTGAGAAAGGGGATAGGAAAGGGGAAAGGGGAGTCAATGACAGTGAGAACTGGGTGCTGGGATACAAAGTAAACTGTGAGTTTATCCTGCAGGTATGGTCATTTCTCAGGCATCAACCGGAAGGTACAGTTGACTTACTACCCTCATGGAGTAAAGGCTACTAATGAGGGACAAGGTAAGATATAATACCCCTTCCCATTACCACTCAAGTCTCTTATTCTTAAAATGACCTCTGCCTCAAGTCACCTTTCTGGGCTCCTCAGAAGACATTTAGTTGTCTCCACTATTTTCCTTAGATCTAGACCTATTCACTGCCCCTTATTTCTGCAGATCCACAGCGGGAGGCCCTGGCCCCATCTCTGTTGCTGGTACTGAAGTGGGGTGGAGAACTGACTCCTGCTGGCCGTGTTCAGGCTGAGGAGCTTGGGCGAGCTTTTCGCTGCATGTACCCTGGAGGACAGGGTGAGTATTTGGGGGGGTAAATAGCAGGGCTTAGATAAGATGATTAGAGAATAAGTTGGGGAAATAGACAGAGGCAATGTGGAAGTTAATGGGAGAAAGAGCATTTTTTCTTCCATGTGGGTATTTATAGTAGACCATTCCTGGTCCTCCGCTTTACCCCCAGGTGACTATGCTGGCTTCCCTGGTTGTGGGCTGCTTCGTCTCCATAGCACTTTCCGCCATGATCTCAAGATTTATGCCTCTGATGAAGGCCGTGTCCAGATGACTGCTGCTGCCTTTGCCAAGGTGCACACTTAACAGTTCTCCCACAGTCCCACCTTCTCTACCTAATGTAGAGAAGCTGAGAATTTAGAGAACTAGTTGGGAAATGTCAGGATGTTTATGTGCTGGCTTAGAGAAGTTTCTGCTTGTATGTGACTCATTCTATACAACTGAGAATGAGCTGAGAATAATTAGTGGTGTTAGGCCCCTTGACATATACCTCTCCTCTCCAAGCCAGCTCTCCTTTGATCTCTGGAACCAGGCCTACAGGAAGTAGACTGGAAGGAAAACTAAGAGATTTTGTGTTTCCCCTCCAGGGCCTTCTGGCTCTAGAAGGAGAGCTAACACCTATTTTGGTACAAATGGTGAAGAGTGCCAACATGAATGGGCTCCTGGATAGTGATGGCGATTCCTTGAGCAGTTGCCAGCATCGAGTGAAGGCTCGACTACACCATATTCTGCAGCAGGATGCACCTTTTGGTCCTGAGGATTATGATCAGGTCAGGCTCTCCCTATTTTTGTGCCCAATATAACCCTATCCCAAAGTCCTAGAATCCTAAGTAAGAGTGATCAATAATGGTACTTACTGTGTGATAGGCACTGCTTTCCATGGTTTCCATACATTATCTCACTTAATCCTTACTCTTTGAAGTAAGTATGGGTATACAATCTCTTATTCATAATTTCAAAAACAAAAAAGATTTGGCACCAAGATTCATTTGGTAGCAAAACCTGACATAAGATGGTTTCTAATTCTTATTTATTTTGTTTAGTATAAATGGTCATATTGTGCTGCAGAAATATAAATGCATTTAGTTATACCCTAAGCCCTGTTGGAGATAGTATACAATGTGGCATATGCACTATATTAACTTCCTAAAGTCTGAAAAATTCCCAGTTCCAAAACCCACTTTGCCCCAAGGATTCTGAAAGAAATAATGTTTCAGTTATTACTGATACATAAAAAAACTGCCCCCAAACTCAGTAACTTAAAGAACAACATTGACTCTATTGTCTTACACATAGTTCTAGGCTCAGCTGGTCTTGGTTGGGGTATCTCCTAAAACTCCCCAGATATTGGCCAGGTTTGGGGGCTGAAACCATCTGATGGCTCAACTGCGTTGCTAAGATGACTGAGCTTTCTCCCTCTTTTTGTTCTCCCTAGTCTTTATTTATTTTTTTTAATATTTTTTTTTAATTTTTTTTTTAATTTATGATAGTCACAGAGAGAGAGAGGCAGAGACACAGGCAGAGGGAGAAGCAGGCTCCATGCACCGGGAGCCCGATGTGGGATTCGATCCCGGGTCTCCAGGATCGCGCCCTGGGCCAAAGGCAGGCGCCAAACTGCTGCGCCACCCAGGGATCCTCTCCCTAGTCTTTAGAGCATCTCCTCTCTGCATGTTTTCTCCATGTGGTTTCTCTAGCATGGTAGCCAGACTTCTTAAATGGTAGCTTAAGACACTCCAAAAGTTAGAAGTCTCCAAGCTGTTTTATTTTTTTTAAGATTTTTAAAATTTAATTATTATTTTTATTTAAAAAAATTTATTTATTTATTCATGATAGTCACACACACAAAGAGAGAGAGAGAGAGAGAGGCAGAGACACAGGCAGAGGGAGAAGCAGGCTCCATGCACTGGGAGCACGACGTGGGATTCGATCCCGGGTCTCCAGGATTGCGCTCTGGGCCAAAGGCAGGCGCCAAACCGCTGCGCCACCCAGGGATCCCTAATTATTATTTTTAAATTAGCTTATTTATTTGAGAGAGAGCACGCACGTGTGCATGCGCTTCAGGGGAGGGGCAGGGGGAAATGGAGAATATTTTAAGTAGACTGTGCTGAGCATGGAGCTCAACACGGTGCTCGATCTCACCACCCTGAGATCATGACCTAGCCAAAATCAAGAATTTCATACTTAACCAACTGCACCACCCAGGAGCCCCTATTTTTATGTCTCATGGTTGGGTTGTGATCTCGTGGTGGTGAGATTGAGCCCCATGTCAAGGAGTCTACTTTGAGATTCTCTCTCCCTTTCCATCTGCGCACCTGCTTGTGTGCACACTCTCTCTCTCTCAAAATATATAAAAATATTTTATTTTTAAGTAATCTCTACACCAAATGTGGGGCTCTAACTCATAACCCTGAAAGCAAGAGTTGCATGCTCCACCAACTGAGCCAGCCAGGTGCCCCCTTCCAAGCTCTTTTAAAGTGTAGACCCAGAGTTAATACAACATAACTTTGTGGTCTTGTTGTTGTTATTTATTGGTTAAGCAGTCACAGGGCCAGTGCAGATTCTAGGCAAGGGGAAGATGACAAAGAATTAATGGTCATATTTAATTCACCATGAGAACTCTGGACTTGTACTACTTTTCTCCCATTTTACAGATGAGAAAACCTAGGCTCAGAAGAATTTAAGCAACCTTTCTAAGGTCACCCAGCTAGTATGAACTCAAATCGTCTAACCTGAGAGCCCAAGCTGTTAGCCACTACAGTGCAGTGCCTCATAGTATTAATTGTGGTGGGTGCCACTACCCAATGTCATCTTTTTTTCTGTGTATCGAGGCCATGATTGACTGGAGATCATGTCAGACAGTGATTTTGTACTATCTTACCACTGATAGCTCATTTCTGATGAGTTCTTTTTTAAGAAAAAAAGCTTTTAAAATCATAGTACCACGTGAATCTTTTTTAAAAGATTTTTTAAATTATTATTATAAAGTAGTCTCTATACCCAACATGGGGCTTTAACTCACAACCTTGAGATCAAGAGTTGCATGCTTTACTGACTGAGCCAGTGAGGTGCCTCCCCACTTGAATCATGTATACTTAAAAGTGTACAGTTCAGTGGCATTTTATTCAAAGTATCATGTAACCATTTCTGATAGGTTCTTCAGTGAGCTAAGTAGCTGTGCATATTACCTGGAGAATGGCATTTTTTTTGTGTTTTTCTCTGAGCAAGACTTGATAGGGGTAGGACCTTGCTCTCTTATGTTCTAATCCATTGCTCAATGTCAAATTCAAAAAGTTAAAGCACTTTTTTTTCTTCCTTGCTTCTTTTTGCTAGCAAAGACAGAACTTGTAAGGGCTTAGGTCAGATGTGTGCATTCCACCCACAATCCTCTTTTCCTTTCCCCATTCTTCATTGACTCTCACTGTCCTGAAAACTTGAGCTGGAACCTAGCTCTGAGGCAGGACCTCTGCTCTAGGTCAAGGTAGCATTTTGTTAAGAGGAATACGATTTTGTTATCTCTGTTGCCCAGTTGTGAAAACATTCTGTGGGGGTTTTGAAGGGCTTTGGTTTAATCTCTATTTCCCAACTTTTTCTTTTCTTTTCTTTTCTTTTCTTTTCTTTTCTTTTCTTTTCTTTTTTTCTTTTCTTTCTCTTCTCTTCTCTTCTTCTCTTCTCTTCTCTTCTCTTCTCTTCTCTTCTCTTCTTTTCTTTTCTTTTCTTTTTTCTTTTTTAAGAGAGAGAATGAGCATCCAAGTCAGGTGGGGGGATGGGTCAAAAGAGAGCAGAGTGAATCTCAAGCAGGTTCCATGCCCAGTGCAGAGCCCGACACTGGGCTTGATATCATGACTCTGAGATCATAACCTGAGCTGAATTCAAGAGTCTTAACTGACTGAGCCATTCAGGTACCCCTCCTAAGTAGTTTCCATGTATATTTTTATTTATTATATTTAATTATTTTTTAAAGATTTTATCTATTTATTCACGAGATAAAGAGAGAAAGGCAGAGACCTAGACAGAGGAAGAAGCAGGCTCCCTGCAGGGAGCCTGATTTGGGACTCAATCCCCAGACCTGGGATCACGCCTTGAGCCGCAGGCAGATGCTCAACCACTGAGCCATGCAGGCATCCCTGTTTTATTTTTAAAGATTTCATTTATTTGAGAGAAAAGAGAGAGAGTGAGAGCAAGAGTACATGAATGGGGAGAGGAAGAGAGAGAATCCCAGGCAGGCTTCATGCCCAGCTCAGAGCCAAATGAGAGGCTCGATTTCATCACCCTGAGACCATGACCCGACCCCAAACCAGGAGCTGGATGCTCAACTGACTGAGCCACCCAGGTGCTCTGACCTAGGTTCTTTTATTGGGGTGGGGGGAGTGCTTGGGTGGCTTGGTCAGTTAAGCATATGACTCTTGATTTTAGCTCAGGTCATGATCTCAGGATTTTGAGATTGAGTCCTGTGTCAGACTCTGTGCTGGACACAGAGCCTGCTTAAGATTCTCTCCCTCATGGGATCCCTGGGTGGCACAGCGGTTTGGCGCCTGCCTTTGGCCCAGGGCGCGATCCTGGAGACCCGGGATCGAATCCCACGTCGGGCTCTCGGTGCATGGAGCCTGCTTCTCCCTCTGCCTATGTCTCTGCCTCTCTTTCTCTCTCTCACTGTGTGCCTATCATAAATAAATAAAATTAAAAAAAAAAAGATTCTCTCCCTCTGCCTCTTCCCCACCCTCTCTCTCCCTCTCTTAAAAAAAAGAAAGAAAGAAAGAAAAAAAGAAAAGAAAGAAAGAACTTAGGTTTTATTTCCTCTGGATTCCAGGACTTTGACCCTCAATCCTTCTTAGATGACTATGTTAGAGCAGTCCCCTCATCCTAGAACCGATAGTATGCCCTTATGCCCTAAGAATCCTTATTGGAGTGAGCCTACAAACAGATTTTACTTGCAGATAGAATCTGTATTTAGCTTACACGATTCTGGGCAATTGGCACGGAGCCTATCTTTCTTTTCATCTCTCTGTTCCTTATAGCTAGCTCCCACTGGAAGCACTTCCCTCCTAAACTCCATGGCTGTCATCCAGAATCCTGTGAAAGTCTGTGATCAGGTATTTGCCCTGATTGAAAACCTCACTCATCAGATCCGGGAACGGATGCAGGACCCCAAGTCTGTAGGTGGGTATGAATAGTACTATCTTCCCTTCAAGGTTTCAAGTATGGATGAGTTCCTTAGGTGCTCCTGTGTTCTCTCCTAAGTGTCTGAGGCAGGTGTTCTCATCCCTCTGATTCTACTTCAGATTTGTTAGAATCTTTTGTGAGAGATCAAATCTTTGGTTCTTTTTGACTGTGCATCTTCCTTCCAGACCTGCAACTCTACCATAGTGAGACACTAGAGCTCATGCTACAGCGTTGGAGCAAACTAGAGCGTGACTTTCGACAGAAGAGTGGGCGCTATGATATCAGTAAGATCCCTGATATCTATGACTGTGTCAAGTATGATGTGCAGCACAATGGGAGTCTGGGACTTCAAGGCACAGCAGAGTTGCTACGTCTCTCTAAAGCATTGGCTGATGTGGTCATTCCCCAGGTGTGTCTTATAGCCTAGGGATATGGGCACTGGGAAAGGAAGGGGAAAAAAGCAGGAAAGAGGGCTGGTGTGGGAACCAGGGGAAGGAAATTTAGACAAAGAATTAGTTGAGTTGCTATAATTCTCAGGCTCCACTCTGGCTCTGTTTAAGTGTAAGAGAAACCCTAGACCTGAGGTGGAAAGAAACATCATCATCTTGGGCCTAGGAGTATGAGGCAAGAGGGAAACAAGATTCACTGAGGTACTTATCCCTGGCCTGTGGCCCCTAGGAGTACGGGATCAGTCGGGAGGAGAAACTGGAAATTGCTGTGGGCTTCTGTCTTCCACTGTTGCGGAAAATACTACTTGACCTGCAGAGAACCCACGAGGATGAGTCTGTCAACAAGCTGCATCCCCTGTGAGGGAGGGATGGGAGGGGTGCTGGATGGAGGGAGGGACATGTCAGGGAGCCCTTGGGGGAATTCAGGCTGGGACAGCCTGGGGAACTGAGAATAGAAGGGATTCTTGGGTGGAAAGGAGAGAAGTGTTTGAGATGGGAGGAAGGAGTTTGTGGAGGGGTGGGAAGAGGATTATGTGACAATGTGAATAACTTAGCTCTTATCTCAGGTACTCCCGAGGGGTGCTCTCCCCAGGCCGCCATGTTCGAACACGTCTCTATTTCACCAGTGAAAGCCATGTCCACTCCCTACTCAGTGTCTTCCGTTATGGGGGACTTCTTGATGTAAGGATATTTCTTCCTTCAACCTATAAATGTTTTTTCCCCAGCATTCTTTTACTCTTCTCCTCATGTTTCTTTTTTACTGCAAGCTTTCTGTATTCTCTTGGTCTCCCTGCCCCTTCCCTGGCTCCCTTGTCTTTGGGCATTAACTTTCCTCTTCTGTGCTTGGTAGGAGACCCAGGATGCACAATGGCAGAGAGCTTTGGCTTATCTCAGTGCCATTTCAGAGCTCAACTATATGACCCAGATTGTCATCATGCTTTATGAGGACAACACACGGGTAAGGAGATAACAGGATTGGGTGAGGAGGGTACCTCTTCTTTCTCCTCCTTCCTGTTTTAGAAAGAAACTTTCATATCCTTGTAATTTGTAGAATTCAGTTAGGTGTGATACTTAAGCATAGCATGTCACAGAGCATCCAGGAGGTTCCTACTGGAACAGAAAAAAGTGTTTTAGGATGGTGTTGAGCCAGAGAGATACCATAGAACATAGCTCTGCATTAGGGAGGGTATAGAATTTGGGATGATGTTATAATGAGTCTTTTTCCCTCAAACATTGTTATACCTTTTCCATCTGACTCCACAAAGATATCTTCAAGTGTGCTGCTGTATGTCCTGTAGCAAAGCTGAATTTCTGTGGGAGTTGGATGGAAAGAATTGTGGAACTGGGGGTTAGAAGGTCATGTGCGGTGGTGGATCTCAAATGGTGGAGGCGAGGGAATGAGGATCCTTTACCACTAGACTATAGTTAAGGGGAAGCTACAATAGTTTAGCCCCAGAGTGGCGTAAAATACTGAAATCTCAGCCCTGGGATGATGTATCCTCTTGAGTTCCCCTCTGTTGTCCCTGCATGGTCTTCTACCACCATATCCAACTTTTCCCATTGCCGCTTCATGTTGATGCCCCATAGGATCCCTTATCAGAGGAGCGGTTCCATGTGGAGCTACACTTTAGCCCTGGAGTGAAAGGTGTTGAGGAAGAAGGCAGTGCCCCAACTGGCTGTGGATTCCGTCCAGCTTCTTCTGAGGTGGGTCTGAGTGCTGGAATTTCAGATTAGAGGATTTAGGATCCAAGTGATGGGAAACTTAGAAGTGGTATAGGGAGGTAAAAGGATTGGGGAGTCTGGGATTAGGAGGCTGGAGGCCATTAACACCTTTCTGATCTGTGCCTGTTTTTGGGTAGAATGAAGAGATGAAAACAGACCAAGGCAGCATGGAGAACCTGTGCCCAGGGAAGGCATCAGATGAACCAGACCGGGCATTGCAGACTTCACCCCAGCCCCTTGAGGGCCCTGGCCTCCCAAAGAGATCACCCCTCATTCGTAACCGGAAAGCTGGTTCCATGGAGGTAATGGGAGGGCTTGGGAGAAAGAAGTGGTGGAATTCCTTATAGAACAATATTCATGAATCCTCTGAATCCCCTTGGGGGATTCTTGGGACCTTAAGCAGAGTCCTCCTGTCCCTGGTGGATATGTTTTACTTAATTTCTCTTTCACAGCAGGTCTCCCAATAAAGCTCCTTTAAGCTGGTTCCTACTTCTGAGATTAAAGAGATACCAGTGAGAGACGCCTGAAAGTTAGGGTTGTAAGAGATGAGATTGGGGAGGAGGCCTCTGGATGAACTCGAAAAGGCTGTTTTTAAAAAGGAAGTGTAGTGGAAACAACATGAACTCTGGGCTAAACTCCCAGTCCAACACTTAAAAGCTGTGTGACCTTGGACAGGTAACTTTACCAAGCCTGTTTTTTTCATCTATGAAACACAAGCAATATCCCACATATAGATGCTCAGTAAACAGTAACTATACTATGAAAATGATTGTTATTAAGGACCAGACTCTTTCCATCTCTTTGTTGCCTTGGGTAAAAATTATAGCTTAGACAGGAGCAGTTACATGAAACTTTAATTTCATCCCTCTAGGGTTATCTGTACTCATCTCAGAAAGGGAAGCAAGTCTGGATGTCTTTCTGTCTTCCCTCTATTCTGATGAGGAGGTTTATTGGCCTGGGCTTGTTTGTCTCTATTTTTGGAGTTTGTCTCTAGGCCTGGTTCTAGTTCTCTAGCCTAGAGGGAGGAACTGTAGTAGATGTTACATTGTGTCCAGCTTACTGTGCTGCTGTTTTTGTTCAGGTCTTTTTTCCTGGAAAGATTTTTTCCCTCTTTGGCTCAATGACACTCTCTTGACCCCATGATTTATCCCTGTCTCAGGGGTTCTGACTGTCTGACTTGGGTCCTGCTTTGACAAATAAATGTATTCACCTGGCTCTGTACCAGCTCTCTGTCTTTTTTTTTTTTTTTTTAAAGATTTTATTTATTCAGGAGAGACACACACAGAGAGAGGCAGAGACGCAGGCAGAGGGAGAAGCAGGCTCCACACAGGGAGCCCGATGTGGGACTCCATCCCGGGTCTCCAGGATCAGGCCCTGGGCTGAAGGTGGCGCTAAACTGCTGAGCCATCTGGGCTGCCCCCAGCTCTCTGTCTTAAAGAAATTGTTCTTTCATTTTAGGACTATCTCAGAAGAATCTGTAACTAGCTTACATAGGTTCAGCCAAAGATTTATAGTTCAGATTTTGGAGAAAGCTGAGAAGATAAACTGTACTTTGTTTTGGACTTATTCTTTTCTTCCTAATGATTTTACGGTAGGTTTGACATTATGAATACTCAGAGCTTCTTTAGGTGGGGTATGCATCATTTTCTCTTTAAGGTGTTAGTTAACTTGGTGTCCACAGTACACTAGTACCCTACAGACTCACATGGGTATAGATTAAATGGATAACAATGACATATAATCTTCCATTAATAAACTGCTTCTCCACATCTAAATGTCTTCCCCATTCACATGGTCTGCCAGTGTCTTTCCTTCTAGTTTAATCAGTCAAGAGACATAGGCAAAGCAGAGCTCTCTGTGTATCATCTCTCAGACTTTATGAGTTGGCTTTTTTTCTTTCAGGCCTATAGGAAGCTTCCTGTTGTAATCACATTCCTTCCTTTTAGTTTCTAGTGTTACTTATACCATGGCTCATCCAGGATGATGGTTGCCGAAGATATGCTCCTCAGCTTTGCAAGAAAATCTCCTCTCTACTCCTTGGTTACACAGCCTTTTAATATTAATATTTCCTTTCTTTATTCTGTAGGTATAGGCGTTGGTATTCTTATTCTTATCAACTACAACCCTTCCTCCTATCCCTTCTTCTCTTGTCATCTCATATTTTTGGACAGTTTAAAATACAGAATCTGTGACCTTCATAGCAGCTATGCCCTAGGTGATCGTCCTCTTCAGGCCTATAACTAGCTCTGCCCAATGGGCACTGGGGCTTTTGGGAGCCTGGGAGTTAAAGGAGCTGTGACCGGCTTTCCACCCGGTCTGATTGCAGGTCATGAACATGCAGTGCACGGGGAACCTGGACCTGATCCCCTTGCGGGGACGGCGCCGCAGGAGGTCAGGAGACCTCCCCAGGCCTTCCCCAGCCATCGGCCTACAGCCCCGGGCTGTGTCCACCACTCACCTGGCATCCTGCACACAGGTGTCCCTCCCAACTTCATCTTCCTTTCCTGCCTCTGTCTTTGCCTTTTGGGACCTAGGGACTCAGAATACTATCTGCGGGTGGTGGAGTATATATTTGGGGTCTGTGTGATTAGGCTCTTGTAGCCTTTTTAGAAATCTGTTTCATGTCTCCAGATATGGAAGGGAGAGTTTCTTGATACAGATAAGAAACTGAGTGTGGTTGCCATAACTACAGCTGTCCCATGAAAAGAGAAGAGGGTAGCCAGACTTTACTTCTTATCATGACTCATTTATTGTGATTGGCTTTGAGTCCTGTGGAGGGATAGAAAAGATTAAGGAACCCTGCTTTGCAGAGAACTGAGAATGGTTGAATAATGATTTCTCAGATTTGGGATAGAAGGGCTGTGCGGACAGGCATCTTGGATATACAAGTGCCTTCTGGTATATAGGATTTCCTGGACAGTTCCCTCTGCAAAGTATACTCTCCATTCCCTTTTCATTTTTCTTCTCCCATAAAAATCCTTTGGTTCTTCCAAACTTTCTGACTTTTCTTGGCTTTATAGGGGCAGGAATTCGGGACCTGGGTTTTAGACCTCTTGGTTGAGGTGGCAAAATGGTAATATAGAATCCTTGTTCTCCAGGTGCTTTCTGAGACTTCATCCTCAAGGCCTGGTGGCTACCGGCTCTTTTCATCTGCACGGCCACCAACAGAGATGAAGCAGAGTGGCCTAGGTATGGTTTTCCAGCATTTCACCTGTTGTTGGGAAAGGGTGTCTGTCTGTTCTTCAGGGTTTTATTGTGGGGAAACCTTAGTCACGGGTGTTGGGGTCATCTAGTCAGTGGAATTGTTGGGTGGGGCTAGGGAGGATGAATTGGGAAAAGCCATGTTTAGGTGCGAATTTTGATCCCAGATGATTGTTTCCATTCCAGGAAGGTGTTTGTCTTTTGGTTTTTTCACCAACCCCCATTTCTCTGGCTCAAGGGCATTTTTCTGGCTTCCCCTCCCATTCCTTTCTGTCCTCCCGGTCTAGCCCAGACCTTAAGGGACCATGGAGACTCTGATACTTCAGAGTTATCAGAGACGAAACTATAAATAGAGGTACTTGTGACCTCCTCATAAGTGTCCTATTCCTCATTTGGAGAACTTGTGCCATGTCTTCCTTGAGACCTATGTTTATTGTATCCCTGCTCTGGCCCCTCCTACCTCCATGCCCTCTCCTTCATCCTCTCCTAATTCTGTAATTTTTTTTCCTTCCTTCCTTCCTGAAAATTGAGGGACATATCTGAGACTGGTGTAGTGGCAGAGGCTTCTCTCAGGACTTTGAGGGAATGTCTCTTGATTTTTTTGATTCCTGGAGAGGGGTGGAGAACATCATTCAACCTTTCCTAAGAACACAGACTGCAGGAAGGACCAAGCCTCAGAGGGTATTGTATTCTTTGGGAGTGGGGAGTGGTCCTCGGGAGGGGCTATCTTTGAATATAGGGCCTTATGAGCCAGTAAGTAAAACTGGCAATTAGAGACAATTGTGTGGGGTCTGGACTTGGTCCTCTGGCTTCTATCTTGTCCTATTATTCTCTCTATTTAGCCCCTTTCATTTTTCTGTTACTTTTGTCCTTGGCACCCAATGTCTTGGCCGCAAAATGGTTAGCTTTTGGACTAGCAAGGGAGAGAAAAGTTTTGTTAACTTTCCCAGCTAATTTTATGGGAGTAGGTTGCCTTCTAGATCCCTGAAATGAGGTAGACGGTTTGGGACATGAAAAATAACTGACAAACATATAGATATGTGACATGGACTTCTCTTCCTAGAAGTTTCAATAAAGAATAGGTTTCAGATAAGCTGGAAATGAGGATAGATGTGTCTGGTCCAGTTAAGTAGGAATGATATCAGAATAAGACAGAAGTATGAGCATGGGACTGGTTGACAGATGGTGGTGGTAAGGTAGACACTATGCTCTGAGATGATCCAAGGACAGGACAGGACAGCATTGGCAAGACTGCACCAGAAAATTATTTAGTGAGGGAAGTAAATGTAGAACAATTTGAGTGGTCTGGGATAAAGCCAGCTAGTTTCAGCTTCTCTGAAGAAAAGTAGATAGATTTAACAGCCTTTATTTCTCTCAGGAATCCCATTCTAGAGCCTATTTACACATGGAAGGTAAGAGAAGTTGCATAGAGCAGCAATCTTGAATTCCAGAATACTTGCTATCTGAGCTTTCTTGATTTCTATAGTGACCTTGAAATACTGGGATCCCTGAAACCATGGCCCTTTCTTTGTAGGCTCAAAGGAAGTTGACCTTCTTTCCCATTCTGTCCATCTCTGCTATGTTAAGTTCCCAAGCCAAACCCAGGTTCTTGGCTAAGATGAATTTGGAAGTAGAAAGCCAAATCCCATAAACTTGGGTATCAGTCTTGTTTCTTCCTTCCCACTCTGTCCTCATGAGCTATGGTAGGAATGGGGGCTATGGAGTCCCAACTCTATTCTCAATCATATTTGAAACATTGACTGGTTTATTTGCTTCAGAGATTTTTAAAGTTTTATTTACTCCTCTGATTGGCAATAGAGTTCCCTTTGCTTTCTTCAAACTTGTATGTGTAGGCATCTGGCTTTGAGCATAGGACTTATAAGGCAATAAACTTTTGAGAGCACAAAAAACATGGCTTTTTTATTGTTTCCTATTTACCAGGTCCTCCTTAATAGGGTCCTCAAAATAGTAGGCATGCCCTCCATGTAATCACCTCATTCCTCACATGTCTTTCAATTTATGTCCATCTTCACTTCAGAAACAATGCTCTGTTTCTTCTTGATGAAAATATACTTTTTTTTTTCTAACCAGACACAGTTCATCTTTAGAATCAGGAGACCTGGGGATCCCTGGGTGGCGCAGCGGTTTGGCGCCTGCCTTTGGCCCAGGGCACGATCCTGGAGACCCGGGATCGAATCCCACGTCAGGCTCCTGGTGCATGGAGCCTGCTTCTCCCTCTGCCTGTGTCTCTGCCTCTCTCTCTCTGTGTGTGACTATCATAAATAAAAAATAAAAAACAAAAAAAAAAACAAAAACTTTAGAATCAGGAGACCTGAATTCCATTCTAGCTCAGCTTCTAACGAACTATATGAGCTTGAGCAAATGAGATCCATTTTGAATCTCAGTTTCTTTATCTCTAAAATGAGAAGATTATACTGCATGATCTTTGAGTCCATTCCAGCTTTAAAAATTCAGTGAATCTCCTACCTTTTTTCTTGGGAAAAGTAAAAAAGGCCTGAAGAGAGAGAGGAGGAAGGGAATGTTGGATTAAAAATTTATGAGGAATTGGAAGAACTTAGGAGGAATTAGAACTTATGTGTACTTGGAATTTGAACTGGGTGCTCAAAACCTAGTCTCTGGTTTCAGTCAAAGTTCTTTCCTTCTTTTTTTTTTTTTTTTAAAGATTTTATTTATTCATGAGAGACACACAGAGAGGCAGAGACATAGGCAGAGGGAGAAGCAAGTTCCCCATAGGGAGCCCAATGTGGGACTCGATCCCAGGACCCCAGGATCACACCCTGAGCCAAAGGCAGACACTTAACCACTAAGCCACCTAGATGCCCCCAAAGTTCTTTCTAAATCTATAAGGGACTATATTTCTTCGTTCTTCAAACTATATATAAGGGTAAGGAGCAATGAATTAAATCTAGGGAAATCTAGGGAGATCTACCTTTTAGCATTTCCAAGATGTACCTGGAGAGCATAGTCTACCTCTTTCAGTAACTTTGAGTCCCCTAATATGACTAACCCTGTATTTGTAGTAGCCTTTTTTAACTATCATGTAGATCTTCTGCAAAATCCCTACCTTGCTTGCCCAGTGTAGCTATGGACAATAGTGAAATCTGTGTGTAGTGGCCACATAGTGATGGCTCTGAGTGACTATGTGAGTGTGTGTCTTCTTGTGTCATGTGAAGTTACGTGTAATTCTGTGTGGTAATTACAGCTTTGTGTGGCTACTAATGCACTCCCGGCCTTGCAGGCTCTCAGTGCACAGGGCTGTTCAGCACCACAGTGCTGGGTGGCTCTTCCAGCGCCCCGAATCTTCAGGACTACGCCCGCAGCCATGGCAAAAAGCTACCACCTGCCAGTCTGAAGCACCGAGATGGTATGTGGGTGGGTTCTGGGGGGCAACTTTTTTCCTCATTTGTCCCACAGCACAGACACAGCTCAAGAACCATTCATACTTAAGAAGGCACTGACACTGGCCTTATAACAAGTTTTCTTCATCAATTATAGAGGGGAGAAGGAACCAAGACCCCATCCACCTCCATTTGCATTCTGTCTCAGTGCAATAAATACTACTTATTTATGCTTATCCCTTCATAATCTCCCACATATAGCCCTGCTGCATCAATTTACTCCACCTTTATATTCTTTCCTGGATTCTGGCCTGTAGGAGTAAGGACCAAAGAGGATGATCCATGGTCAGGAAAAATGCAATGGAGTGTTGATTAAAATCTAGGAAATCAGGGATGGGGAAATTGTTCAGCCAAGGCAGGAAAGATGATGTGGAAAGAGATTGGGGGAAGGGATGAAAGTTTTTTTTACAGATTTTATTTCCAAACGACCAGAAAGAGGATGTGGTGGTGAAATTAGGGTCATCTTTGTGGGGCCATATTGTGGTAGAGATGACACATAGATGCCTACAAGGAGATTATACCAAAGGAAAAGATTGAAACATGGTAGTCAGGAATCTAAGGGGTGGAGTGGGAGCAGGTCATATACTAACTATAAAGAACATAGTATATTGCGGGCAAATTCCAGAGCAGAGGGTGGGGACAGGGGTGGGTATAATCCCCATGATGTCTTTTCTCCCCAGAGCTCTTGTTTGTCCCGGCCGTAAAACGATTTTCTGTGTCGTTTGCAAAGCATCCGACTAACGGTACGTTTGCTTCTGACTCAACATCATTCCCCCTCATCATGTCGCCTCCAGACACTTAACCTCTGAGTTCTGACACTGACTTTGCTTCTGCCTTCCACTATGTTGACAACATGTTGTCTCTGAATGAACCACTCACTAAGTGTCCCTCCTGGGGCATACCCTTTGTTGTGACAAACTTTAGTCTTGGCTGCAGCCTGGCTGCCCTATCTGTGTGGCAACTCAGGGACATATGTCCATGATCACCATTATCACCATCCTGTCACTTTTTTTAGCATCATCTCTAGAACATTAATTAAACCGTTCCCTTTCCCATCACATGACTGCTGGGCTTTGTACAAATATAACAGTGGTTCTCCTTCATAGGAAGAGAATAGTATTTCCTGGATTATCTCCATGTCTTCTTTACCCCCCTCCCCCCTCCGCCACTCCTCAGCTTATACAATTTTGATCTTCCTGTTTTTTCTCCAGTTCTTTGTTGGAGTGAATGACTAATTTGTTTTTCTTATGGAGCAATGCTGCTGCATTTCCCAGTTCCTATGCATACACCTAAGGGTGCTGGTCTTGAGTTCATAGTTTTCCATTGCCATATTCCTATCTCCTGTCATTGTGTGTACTTTATGTGGCTCCTGTGCTCCTGACATATGCTTTATGTTACTACTAACTTAGGGCCTGGGTCTAGAAAACAGGAGCCCAGATTGATTTGGGATGAAGAAATACAGGGGTAGGAGGCCGTAGGTAAAGGAAAAAGGATTGTACCTTGAGTTATACAACACGAGTTACAACACAGTTTCCCTGTAGCCCCAGCCTATCTAAGATGCTGCTATCTCAGAGAAGCTTGAAGTGAAGATTGAGATGTTTCCTGGGAATTCTGGGTGTGCTTAGGAATGAATAATGTTTCAAAAATATTGAAGAACTGGTCTGGCCATACTAAAGTGGGAGAGTTTATATATCTGTGTAAACCAAAAACTGAAGGGCAATGGTCTCTTTGTAGGGCATAGCAGGGGAACCCAGGGCTTACTCCCTGTTTTATCCTTTATATTATTGGTTTCTCTCTGCCTTGTATCTTGTTTTCAAGGTAAATCCAACTTTCTTATACATGGTTTTCTTCTGTCCAAGAACTAAGTCTCTCTAAGGAAGATAAAATTAGCCTGGTTTCCTCGCTGGAAAAACCTCCTTAGCCAGTGGCAACTGCTAGATTTTAGTTCATTTAGGCCATACCTCTCTACTAGGCACTGCTGAAATTTTCCTAGGTGGACTACCCTATACTTTCTCAGTTTATAATCCCACCTCCACCCTGGCTCCCATTTGTCCCTGTGAAGGAGTACCCCTTACAGAGTGGCATGCCTCTACCTATACATCTAGCTTCAAATTCTTCTGGCCTTCATATGCCATAGTCCTCTCCATAATAGAACCTCATGCACCAATCCCAACCCTACAGCCTGGGTCTTGGACTTAAGAGATGTGTTACTTAGAGTATAGAACATAGAACTATGTTCTATACTCTAAGAATTTGGGAATTTGGGCCCCTGAAATCAAAGTTACAGCACTGATCTCTTAGTTCTTAGGCTTTGTGAGAAAAGATCCTTATCTATAAAACAGATCCTTAAACCTGTCTCTAGTTCCCTGAGGCCTTGAGTAGCAGCCTCACCAGTTAAAAAAGAGAAGAATTAATTCTACCAAAAGGAAGAGAGGAAGAAAGACTTGGATAATTCAGATAGAGTGCAGGAGAGTAAATTCAAGATCTTCTCTGACTCCCTACATACTTCATCAGGGGGCCTTCTGGCCATTGTTCTTCTTGTACTTGAGTTTGGAGGCTAACATATTTGAGAAGCTAGAATCTGGGATCTTCCTGATGGTAACAGGAGAAATTTGGAGGTGTTGTGTCTCTTGCTGAAGTTTACCTAGATTGAATTTGTCCCTCAGGACAGTATGAAGGCTCTATACCATGTCAAATCTTGCTTGACCTAGCAATTACAGAGTAGATGCTCTGCCTATAATTGGTTATGGCAGATTAGTGACAACAGTATGCCACTCTACTGTCCCATCATCACTGTCTCCTTCTGTGATGTCTCACTTTGAAATAGCAGCTGGAAAACCTGGACCTAGCTTTTGAAAGGAGGCAAGGCAGTGCTGACTCCTTACCTTAACGAAAGAACATCTCTCAGCCATCCCTGCCTCTGTTCCTGATAAGCTTCTGTCACATCCTGTGACCACACTGAGTATGCAAGTATGGCCCATTCCTAAACTACACACTGAACTCGCCAAAGGAAACTAATATAGTGGGAAAGAGACTGTGGTTAACCTCATCCTGAATATTAGAGTACCTATTGGATTTACCAAGCCCAGTATATTCTAGAGTACAGTTAGAACCTAGGTAGAGCTGAAACTGCTCCTGAGTTTCAGACGGAGGTCTCTGGAAACCATAGTCTCATAAGATCACTCTGTAGAACCACTTCTGGTCTGGGAGTTCTGAGCAGTCATCTTTAGCTACCTTGACTTACCATCTCTATACCGATGTCCTGTCATCAGGTCTTAAGATCCCATACCTTTTTCTTAGGATCTTTTTCTGTTTTTCCTATGCCCCTTTACACATGCCTTTAACTGCCTTCAAGCTTTTGCAGTTGAATTGCATATATCCACAAAGTTTGCCAAGCAGCTAAAATTGCAAGTGGTTCAAGATTGAAGCTTTCCATTCACCAGCTGAACAAAGTTAAACTCACCAGCAGTGGGAAGAAAATACAAAATTATCTAACTATTTTTGGCTTCTGTAGTGGATACAGTGTCCCCCCGAAACCTGAGATTTATGCAAACATTTTTAAAAAATCTGTATATTTGGGTAAGAGTAAAAGCTGATTAGTCAATGTCATTTTCACACATTGATTCTGTTTTTTGCATACTCTGTTTTAAAAGACCTTCATACTTGGTGTTCTGTCAATCTCCTTTGCCATCTACCTAACACCAGCCCTATTTATGGCTATTTTATAGAGTCTGGTCCAGAAGGCTTGGCCTGAGCTTTTAGGAACCTTTTTAGCTTCAAACTTTGCCTTGATACCCTTTACCATTCTTGATCCTCTTCTCTGACTTTGAACTTTGCTTCTCTATACCAACTTTATAAATACATTTGTCTGAAGCAGGCCCTAAGTAAGGTTTGTCCAAGGATAATCAGGGACACTGGAGCTCTAATCAAGACTCCAGCCACAAAACTGCCAGCTTACCCCTATTCAGAATGATGTGATTGCTGTCTATAAGCACTGACTTAATTATGCTCAGTGAAAGGGGGAGGGCCTTGCTGTATGATGAAGTCTCACTGGCCCCTTCTTTTAGACTTAGTATGATGCTGACACTCTTCTTCCCTGAAAGAGACACCCATTGGTTCTGACCATCTCTGCTTCTCTCTTAGCTCACCTTGGAGCTGAGTGGCCCCACCTCCCAGTAGTGCTTGTGCCACTCAGTGCCCCCCTCATTGTCTTTCCCTCTTCTCTTTCTTTATCTTTGTGCTTCCTGCCGTGGTCCTCCCCCATCCCCTCCAGAGCTGCTGGATGACCAGCACCCTGTGGTCCGGTTGCTGCGCAGTTTTTCCTCTGACTGTCCAGGGGGCCGGCCAGTCTCCTTGGATGCCACGCTGGCGCATCACCTGCACCAGTGCTCCTACCACCTGCGCCTCTTCCGGAACTGGCTGCGCTCAGGCCAGGATGACCCCGAGTGCCTCTACGGTACCCCCTGCCACCAAGCTGGCTGCTGCCACTACCCTGGCTGGGACTGACTGCTTTGCTTATTGCACTTCTGGCAGAAGAGTCCACCTGTTCCTTTCTCCTATTTACCCTAAGGTTATGTGACTTGCCTTTAGTTGCTTGGATATGGGATTGGGGCCAGACTGCCTGGTAGCTGTAGCATTGGCTGCTCATCCCCTTACTATTCTACTTCCTTACTGCCTCCTAATGTTACCCATTCCCAATTCTATTCAGCATAGGAGTAGTTTCTTGCCCTGAAATCTGTTCTTGTCTCTATAACCCTCTGCTACTACCATCCTCAAATGCAAACGTTTTTCTAGCCACTCTGAGGAGCTAGAGATGTACTTCTTCTATGCTCCTGCCATAAGACTACAGGGGAAAATTGAGGCACAAAGGTCTTAATTGAATCTTTGAAGCAAACAAAGGCCAGAGTTAGAAGATGGTCAGGTATGATCCTTTTGAATTAGAGGTTCTAGATATTAGTGAACAGGAGGCAATGTCTTACATAGATATTGCTGTCCTGTCTATTCTTAGTTTCTTTAAGGAATTCTAAAGAGACACAGGAAAGATTGGGGGCTGGAAAAATGCTTGGGATGTATGCTTTTTGTCCTCCAATTTGGGACATTTTTTTTTTCATCAACAGGCTCTGGGATTAGGGTTATATATTTAGATTTTCCCTTCACCCTAACCAGACCAGTGAACCTACATTGGAATTGTTTGGTTCAGACAGAGAATCAGTTATTTATTCTTCTTTCTAGGGATTTGCCTCATTTTCCTGATGGAATTAGAGAAATCCTAGCAAGTCTGGGGTTTTCCAGCGAGAGCAGAAGGGAGAAGCTTTGTTGTGATGGAAATGACCAAGAAAGAACTTCCATCCCCCAGCCTGTTCATGCATGTGGTTTTCCTTGGCTAAGCTTCATGTGTATTGCATGCACTCCAGCTTGCTTCCAGATATTCCAGCCTTTCCACTCATATCCTAAATCTGCATGAATCCTTCTTCAGATTCCATTCCTCCTTAATCTGGTTCTCTTTACATGAACCCTGAAATCTACTGTTTCTTCCCAGCTCCATGACCTCCCTACCTCATTTAGACCTTCAATTTCACCCCTTACCTCTGGACTTTTGTTTTATTCCCCTAGAAAGAGTAAGAGCAATGTAGGTGCTTAACCTATTGGAATTCATTTATTTTTCCATGAGTCATTGCAGGCTCTCCATAGGTAGGATAAGTGGTGATTTGATTCACTTGGAAGCCTTAGCAGATAGACTTCTTAGGGCATCTGGAAGTGATACCTGTAGGGGCTCTAAAGAGTTCCCTCTCTTGAGATCTTGGATACCCCATACTCCAAAAGCCATGGACTCTCCTGATGGCTCTCAGGGACTCTCCATGCTTCCTTTGACAGTTGGGGTATATCTGGCAGGAATAACATTGACTTTGCCCATCTCTTTTCTAACAGGATTTGAAGGATGTTCCATGGTGCCTACCATTTACCCCCTGGAAACACTGCATAATGCCCTTTCCCTGCGTCAAGTGAGTGAATTCCTAAGTAGAGTCTGCCAGCGCCATACTGATGCCCAAGCACAGGCATCTGCAGGTATGGAGAATAGTCTCATCTTGTACCCTTGTCTCTGTCCCTACTCTTATGCTTCCTAGAATATGAGTAATAAATTAAAAAGATAGGCACTCCAAAAAGACACAGAAGTAGACTTGAAAAATTGTTTAATTGCATAGGCCAATTCAACAACATAACTTCCCAAGTTAATTTATAAATTTAACATGATTCCAGTAAAAATGCTGATGTTTTTCTAAAGTCAGACAAATGGATTCTGAAGTTGTCTTTGAAAAATAAACAAGCAAGAGTAGCCAAAGAAAACCTTGAAAGGAAGAGTAATGAGAAGTTACTAGCCCTATCAGACTTTATAACATCCCATAAAACTTTTATAATGAAAATACTGTTGTTTTTGTACAGGAATAGACGAGAGGGCAGCCCTGGTGGCTCAGCGGTTTAGCGCCGCCTTCAGCCCAGGGCCTGATCCTGGAGACCCGGGATCGAGTCCCACATTGGGCTCTCTGCATGGGGCCTGCTTCTCCCTCTGCCTGTATCCCTGCGCCTCTCTCTCTGTTTCTCATGAATAAATAAATAAAACCTTAAAAAAAAAAAGAAAAGGAATAGACAGAGAGACCAATCAAACAAAATAGAAAATCTAGCAGTAGGCGAAGTTAGCATTTCAAAATACTGGGGGAAAGCAGACTTTTTTTTAAAAAAAGATTTTATTTATTTATTTGAGAAACAGCATGAGGAGCAGAGAGAGAGGGAGAAGCAGATACCCTGGTGAGCAGGGAGCCCAATATGGGGCTTGATCCCTGGAGATCATGACTTGAGCTAAAGGCAGATGCTTAATTGACTGAGTCACTCCAAGATAGACTAATAAATGAAGCTGGCATAACTGAGTAGTCATTTGACAAAAAATTAAAATTGAATTTATGCTTCATGCTATATACCAAGGTAAACTCTGTATGGTTCAGAAATCTAAATATAAAAATTAAGCAATAGGTTGTTCAAAAGGCTTGTCCTTCCACAGAAACACCAAAAAATCAAGCAAAAGCTATTAGAATCAGCTTTATCAGAACTCTGGAAAATAATTAAAAGTTTGCAGCAACCAGGAAAATGCTAAATCAAGAAAGACGCAAGCTTAGAATGGCAGGAAGCTTCCCATCATTTTACCATCTCCTATCCTACCCTCTCCCCTCACCTTAGCAGCAATCTTAAAGATGGCAGGGCATGTTCTAGGACCGGTTGTATGGAACTCTGGTCCCTAGTTCTAAAGGGAGAAGAACAGACTTTATTCTCAAAGAATTATGTTTGTCTATTCTAACTTGTCTAACCTGAAAAACTGTCACAGAGTCCTTACCTTTGTTTCACTGAATCAGGGCAGAAAAGTAGCTGTGCAGAAAGTGTTTCTTGAAAACATTGTAATGCAAATGAACAACATGCTGCTGCCTGGGGCAAAAATTATAATTGAGGCAAACAATAAGTATACTGAAAGGCTGGAGTGAAAACTTAAGGAAATAATTTCTTTGGAAAATTAAGGCTTAAGAAGCACCCACATATACTGGGGAATTTAGAAGCCATGTTCCTGCCTAGGGAAGGATACATGCACAGAAAACACATGGGAAGACCCTAAGATTTTACTTCTGGCCAAACTCTAGACTCAGCACAAGCAAGAAGTGAAGGCTAAGAGGGATTTGTAAACAGTTTAGCTAAGTGTTGAAGAAATACTCAACATAGAACCAATCTGCAAAGACCAGGAGAACTCCCCTTTTCTTCCTTTTCCCCCATCTTCCTCTCCCCCCTTTTTTTTTGTCATTCAAAGAAATCCTTGTCAGAACACTAGCTGTGAAACAAGCTAAAGGAACAGAAACTTCAGAGACCACATATGACAAAGAAGATAGACTTCACAAAAATAGAAAAATTACTAAACAAACAGTCACAGCCTACAGCAAACCATGAAAACAAACCCTGAGGAGAAGGAATAATCTGATATTCACAATTATAATACTCAAGATGTAGGGTGGCTGGGTGTCACAGTCTATTAAGCATCTGCCTTTGGCTCAGGTCATAATTCTGGGGTCCTGGGATTGAGCCCCACATCAGGCTCCCTGCTCAGCAGAGGAGTCTGCTTCTCCCTTTCCCTTTGCCATTCCCCCCACTTGTGCTCTCTGATTCTAGCTCTCTCAAGTAAGTAAATAAAATCTTTAAGAAAACTATTCAAAATGTCCAGTTTTCAACAAAACATTATAAGATATGCAAAGATACAAAAAGGTATGGTCCATTTACAGAAGAAATTAACAGAAACTGTCCCTAAGGAAGCATAGATGTTAGACTTGGACAAATATTTTAATAAAGCAATAGAAAATATTAAAAGGAACCAAACAAATTCTGAAAGAGAAAAATATAACAAATGTAAAATTCACTAGGATTTCTTTTCTTTTTTTTTTTTTAAGATTTTATTTATTTATTCATGAGAGACAGAGAGAGAGGCAGAGACACAGGCAGAGGGAGAAGCAGGCTCCATGCAGGGAGCCCGATGTGGGACTCGATCCAGGGTCCCCAGGATCACGCCCTGGGCTGCAAGTGGCGCTAAACTGCTGCGCCACTGGGGCTGCCTTCACTAAGGATTTCTTAGAAGATATGAGCACGCAGAAGAAAAAATCAACAAAATTAAAGAGAAATCATTTTTAAGTGTCTAGTCTGAGGAGAACGAAAAAAGAATGAGGAAAAAATTAGCTAAAGATATTTGTGGGACACCATCAAGACTACCAACATGTACATAAATGGGAGTCCCGGGAGGAGAAGAGAGAAAGAGGCTGAAAAAATATTTGAAGGAATAATGGCTCTGAAGACTTCTCAAATTTGATAAATACACAAATCTATACATTAAATAGTTCAAACACAAATAATGATAAATTCAAAGAGATCCACACTGAGATACATTATCATCAAATTGTCAGAAGATAGAGAAAATCTTGAAAGTAGCAAGACAAAAGCAGTTTGTAACACAAAAGGGATCTTTAATAAAATTAACAATGATACCCCCCAACCATGAATTCTTTATCTAGCAGAACTGTTCAGAAATGAAGAAAAAAATTAAGACATTCCCAGATAAATAAAAGTTGAGGGAGTTTTGTCACTAGTAAACCTGCTTTACAAGAAATGCTGAAAGCATTTTGGGCTGAAATAAAAGTACACTAGATAGTGGCTTGATACCATACGAAAAAATGAAGAACCCTGGTAAAGATAACTACATTGGTATATATAAATGTCAACATTACTATATTTTTGGTTTGTAACTCCTCTTTTTGTTTCATATATGACTTAACACTCAAATGAATAAAATCATTACAAGACTGTATTAACAGGCATACATTATATAAAGATATAGTTTGTGACAATAACATAAGGTGAGGACTGTACTTTGTAGGAGCAAAAAAAATTTTTTTTTAAGATTTTTAAAATTTATTTATTCATGAGAGACACAGAGAAGCAGAGACACAGGCAGAGGGCAGGGAGCCCGACGTAGAACTCAATCTCAGGACCCCAGGATCACGCCCCAGGCTGAGGGCAGGTGCCAAACCACTGAGCCACCTGGGCTGCCCAGAGCAAAGTTTTTGAATGTTATTGAAGCTAAATTGCCATGAATTAAAAAAAGATTGTTATAAGTTTAGGATGTTAATTGTAATCTCCACAGTAATCAATATGAGAATGTCTAAAAAATATACAGAAAAGGGAATAAGAAAGGAATCAAGATGGAACACTACAGAAATATCAATTAAACACAGAAATGATAGTAAAGGAGGAAATGAGGAACAAAATAAATTAGAAGATGTATAAAAAACAAATAGTGTGCAGCCCGGGTGGCTCAGTAGTTTAGTGCCGCCTTCAGCCAGGGTTGTGATCCTGGAGACCCGGGATCAAGTCCCATATCGGGCTCCCTGCATGGAGTCTGCTTCTCCCTCTGCCTGTGTCTGCCTCTCTCTCTCTGTGTCTCTCGTGAATAAATAAATAAAATCTTTAAAAAAAATAGTGAAATAACAGAATAAAGCCCTTTCTTATCAGTGATTACTCTAAATGTAAATGAATAAAACTCTCCAGTTAAAAGACAGAGATTAGGGTGCCTGGGTAGTTCAGTTAAATGTCTACCTTTGGCTCAAGTTGTCATCCCAGGGTCCTAGAATCAAGCAAGCCCTGTGCCTGGCTCCCTGCTCAGCAAGGAGCCTGCTTCTCCCTCTGCCTCTCCCTCTGCTCATGCTTTCTCTTTCTCCCTCAAATAAAGAAATAAAATCTTAAAAAAAAAAAAAAAGGGATGCCTGGGTAGCTCAGTGGTTGAGCATCTGCCTTCAGCTGAGGGCATGATCTTGGGGTCCAGGGTCCCTTGCAGAGAGCCCACTTCTCCCTCTGCTTGTGTCTCTGCCTCTCTCTGTGTGTCTCTCATGAATAAATACGTAAATAAATCTTTTAAAAAAAACCTTAAAAAAAATAAGAGATTAGCAGAATGGATTTTTTTAAAAGATTTATTTATTTTAGAGAGAGAGATGGAGGGAGGGGAGCAGAGGAAGAGACACCCCCTAGCAGACACCCTGCTGAAGGTGGAGCCTGACACAGGGCTTGATCCCAGGATCCTGAGATCATGACCTGAGCTGAAACCAAGAGTAGAACACTCAACCGATGGTACTCCCCCAGGCATCTCAGTAGAATGGAATTTTTAAAAAATCATCCAACTATATGCTGTGTATGTGAAACTTTAGATCCAACATTACAAATAAGTTGAAAGTGAAAGGATAGAAAAAAGATATTCCATGCAAATAATGACCAAATGTGAGCTGGGGTAACTATACTGATGTCAGACAAAATAGTCTTTAAGGCAAAAACTGTTACAAAAGACAGAGGTCATTATATATTGATAAAAAATTCAGTTCATCAAGAGCATACAAAAACTATAAACATATACCCACCAACAATAGAGCCCCCAAATATATGAAGCAAAAATTGACAGAATGAAGGGAGTAGAGTTCTATAGTAATAGTTGGAGACTTCAATATCTCACCTTTAATAATAGATAAAATAACCAGACAGAAGATCAGTAGGGGAACAGAGCTTCAATAACAGTGTAAACCAGCTAAACCTAACAGACACAAAGAACATCCTACTACCAACAAAATACAGATTCTTCTTAAGTGCACATGGAATATTCTCCAGTATAGAACATATGATAGGCCACAAAAAAAGTTAAATGAATTTTAAAAGAAATTGAAATCATACAAAATATCCTTTCCAACCACAGTGAAATGGTGCTAGAAATCATTAATAGAAGGAAAATTGGAAAAATTGGAAAATTCACAAGTATGTAGAAATTAAACACATTCTTAACCTTTGGGTCAAGGAAGAAATGACAAGAGAAATTAGAATATATTTTGAGATGAATGAAAATGAAAAAGCAACATTCCAGAAGTTACGGAATTCAGCAGAACCAGGGCTGAGAAAATTTATAGCAGTAAACACCTACACTTAAACACAAGAAAGATCATAAACCAAAAACCTAACTATATACTTTAAGGAACTAAAAGAAGAAGAGCAAACTAAACCCGAAGCTCATAGAAAGAATAAAATAATAAGGATTAGAACAGAGATAAAAGAAGTAAAGAATAGAAAACGGAAAGAGTCAACAAACCCAAAAGTTGGCTCTTTGAAAAAAATCAACAAAATTGACAAATCTTTAGCAGACTTATAAAAAGCGAGTGTTGATGCAAATAACCAAAATGAGGAATAAAAGTGGGGACATTGCTACTGACCTTACAGAAATAAAAAGGATTATAAGAGAGTACTATAAACAATTGTATGCCAGTGAATTAGATAACCTAGATGAACAAATTCCTAGAAACCCACAAAAAGTGACCCAAGAAGAGATGGAAAATCTGAACACAACCCATAACACAGGAAAAGACTGAATCAGTAGAAGAAAAACTTTTCTTTTTATTTGTTAAAAAAGATTTTATTTATTTCACAGAGAGAGGGAGCACACAAGCAGGGGGAGTGGGAAAGGGAGAAGCAGGCCCCCCAAGGAGCAGGAAGCCTGATGCAGGACTCCATCCTGGGATCATGAAGCTAGCGAAAGGCAGCTACTTAACCGACTGAGCCACCCAGGTACCCCTAGAAAAACTTTCAACAAAGAAAAGTCCAGGGATCCCTGGGTGGCGCAGCGGTTTGGCGCCTGCCTTTGGCCCAGGGCGCGATCCTGGAGACCCGGGATCGAGTCCCGCGTCGGGCTCCTGGTGCATGGAGCCTGCTTCTCCATCTGCCTGTGTCTCTGCCTCTCTCTCCTTCTCTCTCTGTGACTGTCATAAAAAAAAAAAAAAAAAAAAAAAACAAAGAAAAGTCCAGGACAAGATAGCTTCACTGGTGAAATCTACCAAACAGTAAGAATTAACGTGTTTGTTTTTTTTTCACACTTTTCCAAAAAATAGAAGAGGAGGAAACACTTTCTACGAAGTCAGCATTACCTTGATACTAAAGCCAGAGACACCATAAGAAAACTACAGACCTATATCCCTTATGAATATAGAAGCAAAAATTCTCTGTGTTTTTTTTAAGTAGGCTTCATACCCAGTGTGGAGCCCAGCAGGAGGCTTGAATTCACAACCCTGAGATCAAGACCAGAGCTGTAATCAAGAATTGGATGCTTAACAATCGAGCCACCCAGGAGCCCCAGAAGCAAAAATTCTCAACACAATACTAGCTAGCTAAATCCAACAGCAAGTTGACAAAGTGAGATTTATCTCTAGAAGGCAAGGGTAATTCAACATAAGAAAGACAGTGTAATATACTACATTAAAAGAACAAAGGAGAAACAATCATCTCAATTGACATAGAAAACCATTTGATAAAATCCACTACCCTTTCATGATAAAAATGTCCAGCATACTAGGAATGGAACTTCTTCAAATGATAAAGAATATTTATGCACAACCCATAGTGCACATCATACTCAATGGTGAAACCTTTCCCTCTCTGATCAGGAACAAGACAAGGATGCCCACATTCACCATTATTGTTCAATATTATTTTGGTAATTTTATTTTATTTTTTTTAAAGATTTTTTTTTATTTATTCATGAGAGACACACAGAGAGAGAGAGGCAGAGACACAGGCAGAGGGAGAAGCAGGCTCCACGCAGGGAGCCCGACCTGGGACTCAATCCCGGGTCCCCAGGATCAGGCCCTGGGCTGCAGGCAGTGCTAAACCGCTGAGCCACTGGGGCTGCCCTAATTTGGTAATTTTAGAGCAATTAGGCAAGGAAAAAAATAGCATAGAAATTGGAAAGGAAAAAGTAAAACTATCTCTTTTTGCAGACGACATGGTCCTATATAGAAAAAAGGCAGAGTCCTCAAAAAAAAACTTCCAGAACTAATGAACAAATTCAGCCCAGTTGCAAGATACAAGATCAGCTCACAAAAATAGATTTTGTTTCTAGATACCAGCAATGAACAATCCAAAAAGGAAATTTAAAAAAAATACAATTTATAATAGCATCCAAAAGAATAAAATACCTGGGAACAAATTTAACCAAGAAGTTTAAAGATTTGTACACTGAAAAATACAAAACATTGCTGAAATAAATTAAAGAAGACCTAAATATCCCATGTTCATACCCCCTACCTCAGTCTTTTTAGAGATTTTTTTCCCCTAGCAACCCCCTACTACCTGGAATTTTAATACCACAAATATACAGTATATATCTGTGTATGGTTCATGACTATGTGATGGACTACAAACCAGTTGAATATCTAAGATTTTTTTACCCTCACCAGGAACCAATTTCATTGAGAAGGCATAGTCTAGGGCAAGAAAAATACAAACTGGTCCCAAGGCGTGTTATAACAAAAGCAAGGAAGCAGTCAAGCCTGAAGAGGTTCCTACTGACCATAACTGGAACATTTTAGCATTCAAAAGAATAATTTACTGTAATTGAGTAAAGTATACGAATATATAAAGATCCATGCACTCATAATAAATAATAAGTAAATAATTCTACAAAAAAGAAACCAAAAATAAAATAATTATCATCTGCCACAATTGGAGAATACTTTTCACTACCTCTTTTCTCTGAAAACTAATTAAAAGGAAACAAACACATGAGTGCCTAGGTGGCTCACTCAGTTAAGCGTCTGCCTTTGGCACAGGTCATGATCCCAGGGTCCTGGGCCTGAGCCCCACATTCTGGCTCTCTGCTCAGCAGGGAGTCTGCTTTTCCCTCTGTCCTTCTCCCTGCTCATGATTTCCCCCTCTCTCTCAAATAAATAAAATATTTTTTTAAAAAAAGGAAACACTTATTCTCCTTTTTCAGTAAGAACTGCAGTTTAATGTAATCAAATAACCTCAGTTGAAGGGGAAAAGCTCTTCTTTACAGAAAATATGCCAGCTAGTAAATGTTGGAGGATTGATAGAAATAGAAAATCACCACTTAAATAATTAAGAATCATCAATGAATACTAACACAATTAGGTAAAATGTTGATGGGGTTTTGTAGTACCAAAAGATTACCTCTAATCAGAAGGGGAAAACTTTACAGTGGTGAGATCTTGTGGCTACCACTTTAACCCAGTTAGCAAACTTAGCTTTAATTAGAGGGACAGTGAGATATTATGTGCCTCGTATGACATAATATAAAGTACATAGGATCACCTCTCACCTCTTTGGCACCTATTTGGTATTTTTACCAAAGTTGTTTATTTTATTTTCTTTATTTAAATTTTTTTTTATTTATTTATGATAGTCACAGAGAGAGAGAGAGAGAGGCAGAGACAGAAGCAGGCTCCATGCACCGGGAGCCCGACGTGGGACTCGATCCCGGGTCTCCAGGATCGCGCCCTGGGCCAAAGGCAGGCGCCAAACCGCTGCGCCACCCAGGGATCCACCAAAGTTGTTTAAACTGAATAATCTAATCAAGCCTTTTATATCTAACTTCCAGTTTATAGGAAATACAAGCAATAGTGAAATAAGTTAAATGATTCTATGAGGGAGCAATCACACAAATCCAGAATGTGAGATGATATAGTTCTGTGACATAACTGATCTGTTCTTATCAAAAAGTCACTTTGAGGGGCATCTGAGTGGCTCAGTTGGTTAAGTATACAATTCTTGATTTTGGCTCCGGGTCATGGGACTGAGCCACATGTCAGGTTCCATGCTCAGTAGGGAATCCACTTGAGATCTCTCCCTCTCCCTCTGCCCCTTCCCCCGATCATGTGCACGTTCTCTCTCTCTCTCAAATAAATAAATAAAAACCTTTTTAAAAAAGTCACTTTAAGAAAAATAAATGGTGTGTGTAGGGATAATATTCTAGATTAAGAGACCTTGGAGACATAAAATGCAATGCATGATTCATGTTCAGATATTATAAAAGATAGTTTGGGAATAATGGGAATTTTGAATATGAATTGGCTATTAATTAGAGTATTACTTTTAAATTTTGTTAGGTTTGTTCATGGTGTGTGGGTATGTAGGAAAAATTCCTTATATCTTAGAGATGCATATTGATGTATTTAGAGGTGAAATGTTTCATAATGCCTGTCATTTTTTAAAAAGAACTTCAGCATGAAGAAATGGGTGAAACAAATATGGCAAAATGTTAACATGTTGATGTGGTAAATACAGGAGATGAAGATATCAGCATGAATTGTAATAGTTTTTCACCTTTTTTTAAAAAGGGGGGATGGAGGAGGGAACAAAAAATGTTGAAAAATATTCATAATATAAAGTTTAAATATTAAAAATGGTTTGTGTGAAGGGTCCTTAGGAAATGCTACTTTTCAGCCTGAAAATGTGTAAGTTGGTTTTGATTTATGTTGAGAACCTGTGTTTCTTGAATGCTTCCTCAAACTCTTTTTTTTTTCCCTTCCTTTTCTCTCCCTGCTCTGTCCAGCCCTCTTTGACTCTATGCACAGCAACCAAGCCTCAGATAGCCCATTTTCCCCACCCCGTACTCTTCATTCACCTACCCTACAACTTCGGCAGCGCTCTGAGAAGCCCCCTTGGTGTAAGTAATCCTTTTGGAACTCTGTGGAGAAAGGTCAAGAGGGATGGAGGGATTGATGAATGAGAGACCTGTTTCATGAGGGAAATGAAGATGAGGGTTGAAAGACCAGGAATAGCCTGTAGGGGAAGCAGTCTCACCTGCTGTTTCCAAGGTGAAGGGAGGATCTGTTTACCTTGTCTCATTATCTCCACCCTCATGGCCTTTCTCTGTTTCAGTGGAGAGGCACCTAAAAGATAGTGTCCCAGAGGGTGCTTCGGGGAACAAAGGATAGAAACTTCACCTTCCTCAGATTCCCATGTGGTCTCTACAGCTTTCTCAAGTATAGATGACTTGAGAGGAAGTTGAGAGATGAGTTGAGAGGAAACTTGAATATATAGAAAAGCTGGGAGAAGGAAACTAGAATCTGCTACTACTTTCCACATGTCCCTTTTCTCAAGGTGTCTGATCTCAACTAGTAGTTCAAGTTGAGGTGCTGCTTCTTCCCATCTCTTCTTTATAAGCTCTAGCCTATCACAAGGTGCACCTGGGTGGCACAGTGGGTTAAGTGTTCAACTCTTGGTTTAGGCTAAGGGCATGATCTTAGAGTTGTGAGATTGAGCCCCATGTTGGGCTCCATACTCACTGTGGATTCTGTTTCCTTCTGCCTCTTGCATTGGTGTTCATTCATGCTCTCTCTCTTTCTCTCTCAATAAATTCATTCATTCACCCATTCATTCATTCATTCATTTCCTGGCCTATCACTAATTTTCCTTGGCAACAATGTGGATAGTGGAGTCACAAGGAGTTCTTAGGGTAATTGTAGGGAAGGAGAGGTACCAGTGACATTCAGAGGGAGGATAAGGACCAGAGACACCAGTGATGGAAAAAATCTTTTCCTTATTCAACCTGCCTCCAGGAAATAACTAAAGTCAAACATGGCTTTTATTATTTTATTTGGATAGGACTGAAGCAAAGATTCATATTTCAGCATTGAGTTAAACAGTTGCAGAATTGGTACCCTGTATGCAGAAGAAACCTTCCTTCCTGACACCAAGAATACTTCTCCCAAATTTTAGATTATCTTATATTCACCTCGCCATTGCTTCTTTTATCCCTCTCCTGGAATATTTATGGTTTTGTGCCCCTGGAAGTCTCTTTTTAAAATAATATTTAAGGGATCCCTGGGTGGCGCAGCGGTTTAGCGCCTGCCTTTGGCCCAGGGCGCGATCCTGGAGACCCGGGATCGAATCCCACGTCGGGCTCCCGGTGCATGGAGCCTGCTTCTCCCTCTGCCTGTGTCTCTGCCTCTCTCTCTCTCTCTGTGACTATCATAAATAAATAAAAATTAAAAAAAAAAACTATTTAAAAAAAAATAAAATAAAATAATATTTAATATATTATTAAAATAATATATATATATTTTCTTTTTAAAATAACATTTAATATATTATTAAAATAATATATATATTATCTTTTTAAATATCTTTTAAAATAATATATATATATATATTTAGGTATTCCTGGGTGGCTCAGCAGTTGAGCATCTGCCTTTAGCTCAGGGCATGATCCTGGGGTCTGAGGATCAAGTCCCACATTAGGGTCCCTGTGGGGAGCCTGTTCTTTCTCTGCCTCTTTATGTGTCTCTCATGAATAAATAAAAATAAAATCTTTAAAAATAATTATATATATTTAAATTTGAGTATAGTTATATACAATATTATGCAGCATACTGGTTCAACAAGTCTATATATTTTGCTATGAGCAATACAAGTTTAGCTACTATCCTTCACAATATAATGCTATTGCAATACCATTCACTGTATTCCCTATATTGTACTTTTCGTTCGTGTGATTTATTCATTCCATAACTTGAAGCGTGGATCCCCCACTCCCCTTCACTCATTTGTCCAGCCTCCCACCACCGCCTCCCCATCAACTTATTCCCTGTATTTTAGGTCTGATTCTGCTTTTTATTTGCTTATTTATTATTTTTTAGATTCTATATATATCAATGGTATTTGTCTTCCTTTATTTCACTTAGCATAGTATCCTCTAGGTCCATCCATATTGTCACAAATGGTAAAATCTCATCCTTTTCATGGTTGAGGAATATTCCATCATGTATATATGTGCATCTTCTTTATCACAGACATCTATTGGTAGACATCTCTTGGTGGACAATGGGCTGCTTCCATAACTTGGCTATTGTAAATAATGCTACAATAAACATAGGGATACATATATCTTTTGAAATTAAAGTTTTCATTTTCTTTGGGTAAATATTCATTGTGGAATTATTGCATCATATGATATTTCTATTTTTAATTTTTGGAGGAACCTCCATACTGTTTTCTGTAGGGGCTATACCAATTTATATTCCCACCAGCAGTGCACAAGGGTTCCTTTTCCTTCGCATGCTCGCCAACACTTATTTCTTGTCTTGTAAAAAAAAAATTAATTTTAATTCCAGTTAGTTAACATACAGCATTGTATGTTATTTCTTATTTTCTGATTCTAGCTATTCTGACAGGTTTAAGATGATGTCTTATTGTGGTCTTCATTGCATTTCCCTGATGTTTAGTGATGTTGAGTCTCTTTGCATGTGTCTGTTGGCCATCTGTGTGTCTTCTATGGAAAAATGTCTATTCAGGTCCCCTGCCCATTTTTTTAAAAATATTTTATTTATTTATTTGACAGAAAGAGAGCAAGCACAGGCAGCGGGGAGCAACAGAGGGAGAGGGAGAAGCAGGCTCACTACTGACCAGGGAACCTGATATGGGGCTCAATCCCAGGACCTGGGATCATGACCCAAGCGAAGACAGATGCTCAACCAACTGAGCCACCCAGACACTCCTGCCCATTTTTTAATTAGATTATTTGGTTGGGCAGGGGTGGTGGTGGTGGTGGTGGTGGTGGTGGTGTTGAGTTGTGTATGTTCTTCATGTAGTTTAGATACTAACCCTTTATTGGATATATCATTTGCAAATATCTTCTCCCATTCAGTAGGTTGCCTTTTTGTTTTGTTGATGGTTTCCTTTGTTGTGCAAAAGTTTTTTATTTTATAGAGTCCCAATAGTTTATTTTTCCTTTTGTTTCCCTTGCCTCAGAAGACATATCTAAAACAGGGTTGCTATAACCAATGTCAGATTACTGCCTGTGCTCTCTTCTAGGATTTTTATGATGTCAGTTCTCACATTTAGGTCCTTGATCCACTTTGAGTTTATTTTTGTGTATGGTGTCAGAAAGTGGTTCAGTTTCATTCTTTTGCATGTAGCTGTCCAGTTTTCCCAGCACCATTTTTTTAAAAAGATTTTATTTATTTATTCATGAGAGAGAGAGAGAGAGAGAGAGAGAGGCAGAGACACAGGCAGAGGGAGAAGCAGGCTCCGTGCAGGGAGCCCCACATGGGACTCGATCCAGGGTCTCCAGGATTACACCTGGGCTGCAGGCGGCGCTAAACCGGGCTGCCCCCCAGCACCATTTTTTGAAGATACTGTTTTCCCCCCATTGTATAGTCTTGCTTCCTTTCTTAGATTTAACCACATAAGCATGGGTCTCTATTCTGTTTCATTGATCTATGAGTCTATTTTTGTGTCAGTGCTGTTTTGATTACTACAGCTTTGTAGTATGTCTTGAAATCTGGAATTGTGATACCTCCAGCTGTGTTCAAGATTGCTCTGGCTGCTTCTGGAAAGCATCTTTCTCCTGCTTCTGCTTCTCTCTCTCTCTCTCTTTTTTTTTTTTAATTTTTAAAAAATGTGTTTATCTGAGAGAGAAAGAGAGCAAGCACAAGGGGGAGGGGCAGCGAGAGAAGCAGATTCCTTGCTGAGCAAGGAGCCCAATGTGGGGCTTGATCATGACCTGAGATCATGACCTGAGCCCAAGGCAGACACTTTACCAACTGAGCCACCCAGGTGCCCCTTCTACTTCTGCTGCTTTGCCTAAATTAAACTACTTAACTGAATATTAAGGCTACTTCTGTTCTTGGGTGAACTCTTTTCTTTTTCTTCTTGTGTTTAATCTACTATCAGACCTTTGACTCACCGCTTTGAGGTGTGTAGCCTCATTGGTAAATATTTTCTTTAGGGTTTGTCTGCCCTAAATAGGGCTTGTTGGCTGAAACCATGTTCCTCTTTCTTCTGCTTGAAGCATGCCTCTGTGGTTCTTTACAGAAAAGAGAGAACTGGCATACCCTAAACTAAATGACTGATTCAGCCTTTGTAGGCTCAGGCTTGCCAACTTTCCCAGGTTCTCTTGGATGACAGGATATTCAGATGTCCCCTGTATCCAAAACGTATCATTATTGATATCAGAGTGCTTTAAATATAAAGTTACAGTACCACTAATAAATACATTTACAAAAAGAAAAGTAGATTAGTCCCCTACTAGAGGTCAATGAAGTAGCAGAGATTGGAGTAGGAATTGTCCCACAGAGTAATTGAAGGCTCTAAGCCCTTCATTTTATTACTGTAAGTATTTGGGTAATTAATTTTTATGTTGTATATGTCTATAACATTCACAATCCTATACCACTGTGTGTCCCAAGACTTAGAAGGTCTAAACATTAGATCCATGGATGGATTTCAGGGTAAAGTATTTGAACCCTAGGAATTATTTATGAAGATTAGTGTGAATATCCAGATGTACATTTTTCTGGGAAGATAGTCCATGACTGTCATTAGAATTTCAAAGGGTTCAGTGACCCCCCAGAAAGGTTAATTAAGAATCTGCCATTTAGAGATTCCATGGCAGTCCTCCATTTTCAGGTAATTTTCCTTCCTTCTGTTCTCATTCACAAGATTTTTCTACATTCTCCTGCTTAATTATCTCTTGGGCCATAAACAATGATTACCTTTGCCCCAGAAATATGTTGATTGCTTTAAAGAAATGATTATTAACAAAAGATGTACATCAGATTTAATTGGGAGTGTTTCAACAAAATACAGTGCCCTCATTCCCTCTTCACCCCACACATTTACCCTAAACCTACAGAATTAGAATCTCCAGTAATAGAACCTAGAAATTTGTATTTTTAAAAAATATCCCATAATTTTGATACATACCCTTAATTATGAGCCACTGGGATACACCATGGTATGTTTCCAAAGTAGGAATGACCATGGGAATTCAGAGTTGGGGTGGGGGTACATTTGTGAAAGAACTGGATGAAGTGGGTCTCAGTACTCTCTCTTGAAGTCTTAGAAGTACCTTAGTGCTCCTGTATACTCCTGTTATGTACATTAGGCCAGAACAACAGTTCCTAAGCTGTGCTAATTGAGCAGTCTTTGTACAGTTTAGGAAGAATTCAGACTGTCTTTCCTCAAGACCATTTCAGCTGGGCAGCCCCGGTGGCGCAGCGGTTTAGCGCCACCTGCAGCCTGGGGTGTGATCCTGGAGACCCTGGATCGAGTCCCGCGTCAGGCTCTCTACATGGTGCCTGCTTCTCCCTCTGCCTGTGTCTCTGCCTCTCTCTCTGTGTCTCTATGAATAAATAAATAAATAATCTTTAAAAAAAAAAAAGACCATTTCAGCTATATACATAAATAGAGCCTATTCTTCCAGCTTGCCTGACTTGGTCTCCTGACTTTATTTTACAGATAGCAGTGGCCCTTCCAGCACTGTGTCCAGTGCTGGTCCTTCCTCCCCTACTGCAGTGGATGGTAACTGTCCTTTTGGCTTTAGTGATCAACCTTCTGTAAGTTCACACATGATTGAAGAACATCAAGGCCTTGGGATGCTCCCCAGGAATGGAGAACAAGAGTTCCCCATTGAAGGGGTGCAAGAGCCTTTTGAACCAAGCCAATCTTCACAGGAACCACTTGTGGAAACCAGCCAGCCATGCCAGGAGGTTGTTGAGGAGATCAGCCAGACATGCCAGGAGGTCCCTGACATCAGCCAGCCATGCCAGGACATCCCTGAAGAGGTCAGCCAGCCTTGTCAAGAGGTCCCTGACATTGGCCAACCATGCCAGGAGAACCATGACAGCATTGACCAGATATGCCAGGAGGTCCCTCAGATCCACCAGCCATGCCAAAAGGCAAGCCAACTGTGCCAGAAAATGTCTGAGGATGCTTGCCAGCTTTGCCAGAAGAACCCTGAGAAGGTCAGCCAGCCATCCCTGGATGTCCCCGTGGAGGTTGGCAGGCTGGCCCATGGGTTCCCTGTAGGGGTTCATGACTTGGTCCAGGAAATCCATGTGGAAGTTGGCAGGCCAGCCCAAGAGACCCCTGAGGAGTTCAGCCAGCCATGCCAGGAATTCTTTGTAGAGGTTGGCAGGCTGGCCCAAGAGGCTTCTGCAATCAATCTATTGTCTCAGGACATTCCTGAGGTTGATAAACCATCCCAAGAGTTCCCTGGGGAGGATGATCTGCAGGTCCAGGAAGTCCCTGAGATTAATCAGCAGTCCTGGGTGGTCCCTGAGGTTATTGACCAGCTGCCTGGAGAGGATATTCCCCAAGCCCAGTATCTATCTAGTGATCCAAACCCTCAGAGCCAGTCTTTGGCCCATGACCAGTACTCACCCCTCCCACCAGCAACATGTGATTAATCATGTTCTCATTAGTGGTAAAACACTATACCAGCTATTTGAGCTAGCAACTTTTTCTGTTGGCTAACTCACCTGCCATTGTAAGACCTTGGATCTCACCAGAGGTGTCTGAGGAAGCAGTCCTCTTGGCATGAAGCCAAGAACTGTGCCAGAGCTGGGCTTGGGAAGGAGCCAATTTTGTGTTCAAAGCAGCCATTGACTCCTCACATGGCCATTAGATTTGAATAGGATTTCCATCAAGGGGTAGGCAGATCTCTCATTACTCATCCTCCTCTGAGTATCCCAGGAAATTCCAGATTGTTGAAGGAAATGCCACTTAACTGCTGAAGACACCATCTGGGGACAGCAAGTACAAAAGGGGCCTCCAAGATCTTCACTTTTCTGGGGTAATATTCACAACTTCACAAGGTACCCTTAGACCGTATGTGCATTCAGGAGAACTCTTGTCTTTTCTTGTCTTTGCTAGCACTCCTCAGGTGGGCCCAGGATGTCTGTCTGAAATGTCTGAGAAAAAAGAGTCCCCTTCCCAAACAAACATCCATTGTGGCCACTAATCTAATCTTTAGATTGGGCTTGTGGGTGTTTTATAGATCATCCCAGGTACCCCCTCTGCTCCAGTCCTGTTCCTCTGGGCAATAGCTCCAGGGTAAAAATATATATTAGACTGCTGTGAAAATTTAAGAGTAACTACTTAAAATGCTCTGGGAGTTCTTGGCCAATCTGTGAAGCTGGACCTCTTTTTGTTGTGGGGCTACTTGGCTTAAGAGATGATGTAGTAGAGAAAATCAGGTTGTATTTTAAGCAATCAGCAGAGATCAATATTGTATAGACATGAGGAAAGATTATATATATTTCTGTAGTAGTGCCAGGGACAGACTGGCCAAAGACCAAACACTCCAGGGTCCCCAGAAAGTTTGTCCTTTTATCATTGTGTCTTTAGGGTCAGGTGTGATTATGAAGCTTTTCCCAAAGATATGGGGATGGGAATGGGCATGAGTAGCAGGAGTAATGCAGTCACTGGAGTGGGGTGGCCAGAACATTATGAGTGCTCAATAAATATGAAATAATAAGAATGGTGATGGTGGTGATGATGTTCTTGTGAATTCAAGAATTCACTATAAATCTATAAATCCATCACGTCTATGACTGAATTGATCTAAACCTGTCAAAAGCTGCTGTAGTTGAATGAGAAGGGATTATAAAATAAAGAGATCAGGCATCCTAGGAGGTCCCTATGGCAGTCAGCCCACCATCCCAAAATGTCTTCAATGAGTAGTGTTAGGGAGAGACTTTCTCTGTGAAGCACCAGTTGGATACTTGCTTTCTCACCAGATCCTTGGAATCACGCTCTTAATTTTTCACTCTGATGCTTTAGAGTAATTGGCAGGAGGAGCTGATATAGAGGGGTTATGGTCTTTCTTTACCTCATTGACATATTTAAATCTGGAAAGCCCAGAACCCTGGGAGGGCTGGAATATCCCCTTCCCCATATATTTACATTCACAACTTGGCCTCTCTTGATATACCCAGGACTATAAAGGGTTTCCCTGCAGGGCAAAATCCAGCATTTACTCAGTGGAAGTCCTAACTGCACTGGTGAGTGCTCTTTACAACCTAAACAGGCTCTGGATCTCTTAGGGCTTCTCAACTCTTTGCCTCTTTGGTGTTCCCTTATCCAGGGTATCTAATGCTGGTTGTTCAGTCCACAGCTCTTGACCCCAAAGTATGCTGATTCTCTTCCCAGAACCCCTGCCCCTCTTCCCTCCCCCAAACCAAATGTATCTCCCCACTCTAGGTCCCTCTTCCTCATACTCCAGTGTTCTCATTTTCAGAAATTATGCTGGCTCCCCATATCTTTTTCTCCCTTCATCCATCCTGTTTTTTGGCTTCCCTAGGTCCTGGAGTTGCTTCCAGTTTTCAAAGACATTGAGATAAATGACAATGCTGGGAGAAGCAGAGAGGTAGAAGCCAAGGCCCAGCAACTAAGCAATGTTTAGAGTCAGAAAAAGCCTAAGCAGCACCACAGCATCTGTAATGAACTTGATTTTATTGTTAGAGTTGGAGGCGGCTCCATTACAGCAGCTGGGAACTATAGCAGGGAAGTGTGGGGAGGAGCAGAGCACAGCAGCACGGGGAGGGTGGGAGCTAGGAAGAACACAGGCCGGCTCATTTTGGTTTCCACACAGTCATTTGGCAGAGAAGCCGAGCCCTGACAAGCGTCTGGATTTCTCAATCTGGTAGTAGTCTGGCAGGGCTGCTCATTGGCTTGCTTGGGGAGAGGTCCTCTCCTGGGGTGGTTTTTCAGCCTGTTTTCATCTTACTCAGTAGGAGGTCTGCTTTAGCTCAGCTTCGTCTCCTTCTTCCCTTCCTCCCTCTCATTTTCCCCAAGTTCTCTGGCATGGCCTCTACCTCCCAGATCCTCTGTCCAAGAGTTTGGGGCTGGAAAGGCAGCCAGTGTTCCCATTTCAGCTGCAGGATGGCATAGTGGAATGTTGGGGGAGTCACACATTGCTAGGGTGTCAAATGTTGGGATGTCAGGCAGTGGCTTATTTTTAACCCATTACACACCAGGCCACAGCAGATGACCACATGCAGAGAAGCCAAGCAAGGGGATGAAAAGGGATGAGGATACTTGGAATGGGTGGGTGAAAACTTCAAAAGGTCAAAAGCTTGGAAGAATTCTGGGATTGGGGCTGGGCTCTCCTTGCCCCTTTGTGCTGCCCAATAGGCCTGGTCTGGGCACAGCTCTGGGATGTGAATGGTATGAAGCAGGGGCTGGAAGGATAAGCAACTTTCTTCTCTCACCAGTCTATTGGTCAAAAGAGCTTCAAGTTTTGGATTGAGACATTCAGATATGGAGGGAAGCAGTGGGACAGTGTAGCAGCGGCAGTGTAGACCCCTGCTGGAACCCAGACCCTGGTGGGTAAGAGAATGGGAAATGGAGGAAAGGGCGCAGCTCTGGGCACCTCACTGACAGAATCCTGCCCCCAGGTCACATAAATTACTACTGGAGATCCTTCCTTAGGATGCTAAATAAAGAGGTCCCTGGGTTGGGGATATGATCTCCCTCCACGAGGGAGTAGGTTGCTGAGACCCATCCTTACTCCCCATCCAATTCAAACACTTGGTAGTGTTAGGAGAGGGTGTCTCTCCAGGGTTCTCAGACATCAGATGATCTCCTATCCTAATTTTGTACCCTCCTTCTATCCTCTCCCTGTTGCCTTTGGTTTTGAAACTCCTCTCGGGTATGGATGAGGGGGAGGGTCAACCCCTCTACTTAGCCCAGCCCAAGTTCCCACAATAAGACATCCTGTCCCCTGTCTCCTCCACCCCAGCTCCCATGTCCCTCAACCCCAAAGGACTCAGCAATAGCCATTCTCTAAGGGAGCTGGGGGAGCAGATCCTTGGGGAAAGGAGAATGGTTCTTTCAGAACTCAATCTTGCAGGCTGGGAAGGACTCATCCTGCATGACCACGGTGCTGCTGCTGGCCAGGACTAGGACGTTCAGTTGTTGCTGCTGCTCATGAGTCTGCTGGTACCACTCACGAGTCACCTCTGTGTCATGAGTAGGGATTAGAGTCACCTAGGAGGGAGATAAGAAATGCCTGATGTGACAACGTGAAAGGAAGTGAGGAGGATGGGACATCGTGCCTGATGGTCTAGGAAGTAGTCCCACTGCCCATAGTAAAGGTTCAGTCCTTTTATGAATAGAGATTGTGTTCCACCATTGCCTCTAAGTAAGCTTTAACTAGGCCTCCTCTTTGGCATCCCTTGCCACTCACCTGAAGATTCTCCCCCCACTGGGCCTTGCCCTCCAGCAGTGCATCCAGCACAGCCCGGCTCGGCTCGCCATTGACAGGGTCATTCCCACTGACCACATAGTAGGATGCACGCACTCGACGAAAGAAGTCAAGGTCAGCAGTCTTGCCACTGCAATGATTCGGGATATAGGCGAGATCCACGTATACAGGAGGGCCAGAGCCGCCCTTGGAACCCAAGGCTGCTGTAGAGACAAGCCAGGACTCATTGGAGAGGTAAAGTAGAGAACACTTTTAGCAATCTTCTTCCTTCCATAATCCCTCCTACTCCTGGAGTCTCTGACCAGCCACACCCAACCTCAACCCACCATCTCTCCCACCTTTCATATTATACTTACCTGGTCCTGTTTTGAGTCCATTGACTAGGCCTTTGGACATAGGGCTGTGTCCATCCTTTTCTTCTGCTGGGGTGACCTGGCTTGGAGTGCTGCGTGGTCGGGGTGGGACCCGGGATGCACGATCTGCAGGCCCTTTACCAGGAGTGGGTGAGCGTTTTCCCCGAAGATCCAGACGCCGGGCAGGAGATGCTGGCTTGGCTCTGCTAGGGGCCCTGCGCCCTACTCTCCCCTGTGCCTTCTCCTTCTCCCGTAGCTTTTCTACCCTTCCAGATTCTGAACTGAGCCCCTCAGGGTCAGCCATGCACACATCAGGGCGAGGAGGGGATGGGCGAGGGTCTGGTTGAGGGATAGGGGGTGGGTCATGGCCAGGCCTGGGATGGTGAGTTCCACTGACCCCCCCAGCTTTGTCCACAGGCAGGAAGTCCCCATCTTCATCTGAGTCGAGGGCTGCCTCAGCTGTGATGGATGGACACTCCTCAGTTTCTGGTGGAACATCAGAATCTGATTGTGAGGAGCCTGAGTCACTGGCTGATGTTGGAGGTGTCTCATCAGCCACAGGGCATGGACCCCCTGTGGTCACTGGGCCCCCTGCCCGGCGCCGCCCCCCTTTCCCAATTAGCCGAGCTTCTTCAGTTGAGAGGTCACCTTCATCTGTGGATCGGGACAGAGGTGGGTTCAGAAAGGATGGGGAGAGTTCCTCAGGGTGAGGCCGGGGCTCAGCAGCACATCCTTGGGGCCCAGCCTCAGTCTCAGGGGAGACACTTCTGGGTTGGCCTCCAGAAGCCCCTCCTGGGCACAGTGGCTGCTCAGGGGAAAGCAGTGTGTCAGGCCGGGAACTCCTCTCGGCTCCCTCAGGCCAGTCCCCACGTTCCCAGGCAGGGCAGGTCTCAACTGCTTCTTCAGCCTTGGCCAGGGCAGGGCCTGGGGATTTAGGGCTGGTTTCAGGGCCATTGGTAGCACAATCCGCAGAGGGACTCTGGGAAGGGCTTGGCTTCTTAATGGGGGCCCCTGTGCATTCCAGGCGACAGAGCAGAGTGCTATCATCCACATCTCCAGGCAAGCTTGGAGCTGGAGCTGGGGCCAAGTCCAGTGAAGCTGGAGGTGCTGGGCTCAGAGGAGTGACATCCCAGAGGCTGTGGGCAGCTGGTTCCATTCCTGGTACCAGCTCTCCAGAGCCCCGTTCTGCAGCCTCCAGGCCAGGAGGGAAGTGTTCAGCCACACTTGAAATCACAGGTGTGGTGGCTTCAGAGGAGGAGTCTTCAGACATAACTGGTGAAGCAGGTCGTGGCAGACTAGAGAGGAGAGGGGCCCCAGGAGAGCTGGGTGATGGGAGCTGGGGCAGTGAAGAGTCCAGGCTGGGGGCCTTGGTCACTTCTAGGTACTCATCATGACGGGCTCTGGTGGGGGGCCCTGGAGCCAGAGCCAGAGCTCGGTCCCCAGAGAAGGCAAGGGAGCCACAGGGTGCCGAGCGGGGTTCAGCAGGAGAGGGCAGCTGTGGGGGAGCTGGCTGCAATGAGGAGAAGCCAAAGGCTGAAGCAGGGAAGTCCAGGCTGGGTCGGGCAGGACCCAGGTGTGAGTCCAAGGTAGGGCTGGCATGTGCCTCACTTTCAGGCCACAATGTGGGGGGCCCTGCAGAAATGGGGTGAGGGGGACTTGGGGACTGGGGCTCTTTCTCTGGCTGTTCCCGAGCTCCCTTCTCCAGCTCTGAGTCACTAGTGCTGTCATCCCAGTGACCCTGGCCTGACTCCTTGGGAGATGGGGTTCTCCTATCTGGGCTACAGCTCAGGATATTACCATTCAAAGGGGGGCTTGGGCCTTTGCTCAGGGGGATAGGAACACGGGGGGGCACTGCAGGTGGGGTAAGGCTGGGCTCCACACTTGGCCCTGGCTCAGGCTCCTGCCTGGGGGGTAAAGTGGGTCCCGCCAGTGCTGCATAGCTAAAGGTTGGAGTGTCAGATTGGAGACTCTTGGGCGAGACAGGGGATGAAAGTTCCTTCTCTGCAGATGGGTTTCGGCCAGCAGCCTCCTCCTTGGCTGAGATGCGTGGGGGCCAATCCCCAGCTGCTCCAAGTGGAGGCTCTCTAGTGGGGCATGCAGGGCCAAGCCCAGTAAGCATCATCTGCTCATAGATGTCTGCGTACTGAAAACTTCTCTCATCAGGATAGGGTGTGGGTTCTCTCTGCTCAGGCTCCATCTGCTCAGGCTCCTTGGTGGCATGGCTCTCGATGGCTTCTGGGACCTTGGAGCTTTGAGGGCTGCTGCCAGGAACTCCAGCTCCACCTTCTTCCTCCCTTTCCCCTTCAGCCTTGCGGTAGTCCTTCCCCAAGGGAGAATATGGCCCACCTTCCAACTCAGCTGCTGCCTCCTGCACTGCAGCCACCACACTGTCATACTCACTTGTGCCCCAGGAGAAGGGCGCAGGAGTGTGTGGTTCTGGGGCAGGCGTGGGAGGAGCTGGAGCTGGGGAGAGGGGTACAGGGGGCAGGGGTCTGTCCTTGGGTACCCATGGTGGGATGTCAGCCAGCCACGAGGGGGTGGCGGGTTCAGTCCTCATGGATGGCATGGGCTCAGACTCTGCGATAGGGCTTTCTTGTCCCGGGGCTGGAGGAACCCTCTGTCCAACCATCTCAGGTGGGGAGGCTGGAGGAGAGATGATCTCAAAAGGGGAGCGGGTCAGCTTGTCCTCTTCCTCTGGTGGCAGCCCAACTGGTGACTCAGCAAGCCAGCGCTCCACCTCCAGCCCCTTCTGTGGTGAGGGCTCCTGGAAACCCTTGAAGTCTGAGACCCAGGGGCT